TACCCAAAGGACACAAAAACAATAGGACACATGCACTCCTATGTTTATTGCTGCCCTATTTACAATAGGGAAGAGGTAAAATCAATTCAAAGGCCCAAAAATAGATGACTAGATCAAGAAGATGTGGTACATATACACAATGGAATATTACTCAGCAACAACAACAAAAAAAAAATGCCTTTTTTCAGCAACACGGATAGAGCTGGAAAAGATCATGCTTAGTGAAATAAGCCAGAAAGAAAAGGAAAAATATCAGATGGTTTCCCTCACAGCAGGAATAATGGACCAGGTGAGAAAATAATAATAATAATGAACAGCTATATACCAGAGACATTTTATGGGGGTGAAGTGGGGAATGGGATCAAAAACAGTGGGGGGAGGGGAAATGCATTGGACAATGGTGATGGCACATGGGTGATTTGGTGATGGGAAGCCCAAGGGGATTACAACTGAGATGGATGGGAAAATGATGTAAAAATAAACTATTATCTCATTAAAAAAAAAGAAATAGGGGAGCTTCTATAAGTCAATTATAAAGTAATAAAATTACACATGTATAAAATATTAAAAACAATTTAAAAAGCAACAATTATTATGACATTTATTTGCTTCACCTAAAGAAAAAGAGGAAGGAAGTGAGGCATTAAATGAAACAATATTTTCAAGGGGTTAAAAACTGTTGAAACTGAATGATAGTTGTTTATTCTGCATGTTCAAAGTTCTAAAACATTTTAAATTTATTAACAAAATTTTTAATATAATATCTTGATATTATGGTTTATTGCCACGACTGTCAAATCAGTAATATTTTGGGTATGTCAGTAAAATGTTATCCTTTATATTTAAATAAGACATTATGAATTTAACAGTAGCCACAAAATTGCTCTTATAGTTCTCTTTCACATAGCTCTTCTTTGAGAACTTCAAGTATTTTAAAAGATTGGTAGCTAACATGAAGATTGACCGTTTACTTGAAAGTTAAGTAGCCTTTAGTTGGACTAAGTGTGAAATAAAACAACGGTAAGAAGCAATAATTTTTAAAAAATAAACAATTAAGATAGAAAAGGCAAAGAACAGGTCAAAATTACTCTTCTTACCTTGACCAAGATGTGAAGGTTTTTGAGAAATTATGTGACCACTGCTATCTAAAGCATACTGAGTGCTAAAATTATCTGCAGCCGTCCTTGTTGTAATTAAAACCTGGGATATTAAACAAAAGAGAGAACAAACTTCATGACTTAAAGTATTATAGAAGGTTCATTATCAAATTAGATTTAGAATAATTACCATATATTTACTTAAGATTGAAAAAAGCTTTATTTGTAAGTTTTTATGATCACTTCTCTTATAATATTCTTCAGTTACACGAATAAGCAATAGGCTAGTTTATATTTTTGTGCTTCAAATTACTGATCTTTACTTGATAAACTAAAACACTCATACATAAATCAGCATATCTGAAATGGTTATTTGTTTTATAAGAAGTATACCTGTAAAATGAAATATTTTACCTACATTAGGGAAAGTTGATTTTTAACTGACAATAAATTGGTTGGAAAAGTAGTACTTTTGTAAAGTGATCATTCCTTCAATATTTTCTATTCTGTGGAAAACTACACTTCTATATTTCAAGTTAATGGTTCAAAAGAGTATGAAACATAAATTTTACACATATATTTATAGGCAATTTTTTTCTTTACTGTGCTTTGAACTCATAATTTTTAATTGATTTTAAAAGTTTTTACATAAAAAGCAATACAAAATAGAATTTCATTCTGCATGAAGGTATTTCCTAAAATGTCACATAGAAATGTGTATTTCAGAAAGTCTCTACACTTTTGAGAAGCCCTTACTCTCAGCTTTCGTTTAACCTACACCATGTCATTAACAGTCTATCAACTGTAAACCATACCACTGTCAGCAAATACCAGACAGGGGGAAATGCTGGCAAGAAAAGCAGGTTGGATTCTGGAAAGGATAGCTTCTTTACATTTTTGGTGAGTAGTGATGACCCATCGTTGGCCATCCATGGACTCAAAAGAGTTGACTATCTTAAAATAAATCTATATAATTTAGAAAGTCAGAAAAATCCATCTCTACCGCCACAGCTCCTTTACATCAAGCTTAATTTACATCTAATAGCTCTGTTCTATTTCAACCTGCAAATTTACTACAGGCAAAATTACTAGAGAACACTGTGTGCCATAGGAACACAAGAGTAATTACAAAATAAGCATGGTTTCTATTGCTCACAATATAGTCTATTAGATTCTCTTTGATGGCGATGTCCATAAAATCCTTGAGAGGCATTGCCTGAAACTCCTATTTGTGACAGAAGTTCCCCCCCAAAAGCTGTGTCATAAACACACAAATATGGGCCTCCCTGATGGTTGCTGGAGTTAAAGTCTCAACGCTATCAACCAATTGCCAGCCACTGCGACATGTGTTCGATCCCTGGCCATGGAGCTGATCCATATGGTACAGCAGACTTCTCCCTCACCTACTGTTCACCTCAGCAATGTATTTCAGCAGATCTGCCCGTTGTGCTCCCCACTCTGTCCCTGGTGAATCTATTGACCCTCCTGCACCTCTGGCCTACTCTAGTTCTTGCATGCATAAAAAATTTTTAAAAACATTTATGAATGAGCCACTGAATACTCTTATATGATTTATCTACTTTTTCCATTCCATGATCCAAAAGTCATGTAATTCAAAAAACTTTCCCAATAATTAATCTTAATTTTCCCTGCTACATTCAATGTATCCAATAGTGATTTCCTCTAGTAAAGTTGGTTCAAAATCATAGAGGGCAGAAATTGCTAGATTTATTTTCTTTCTTGTTTCCAATTTAATTATTCCATGATTGTCCCTTTAAAAGCAATTCTACATTTAACCAACCACTTCTCCAAAATGCCAAGGTCAATTGAATTCTATTTCTATTCTCCAAAGAGCTAGCCACCTGACCTAAAGTTGGTGTCACTGAGCAAAGGCAGCCCAGGAACTCTGAGTTCTAGTACTAGCTCTGCCAGTGGCTTGCTAGATGGTCCTGAATAAATGATTACAGTATCATCTTTAAGGGGAGGGTGATGATAAGATGAAGACGATGCTAATACTTTATAAGGTTACATGGGCTTTTGCTTTAACTACTTCAGAGCATTTTATAAATACTAATTTGTTCATCCTTTAAACACATGAGTGAGTAGTAAATATACTCCAGCCTAGAGAAATAACCTAAAGTGCCAACAAATAAAACAGGAGCTTATTGGCCATAATGTAATACTTATGTTAAAGTGGAAATTAGAATATAATATTGCTTTCCAACATTAAGTGTTTTAAAATTTGGCTGTGTAGGGTCCTATGAAAATTTATTTAGATAGGAAATCCTTTGCAAAAGATAGGGAAGAGTAACTTTCATATGAATGCTTCACAAATTAATGAAATACAGTGTGTTCCTCAGAGGAGGGAATTGTATTTCAAGAGTTCATTTCATCATATGACCCTGTGTCCTGGACAGGAAACCTTTTTTTGGACCAGGCACAGGTTCAGAATGTGTTAGCTGTGCAGCACTAACAACTGAACCTGCAGTAACTCCACTATCAGAAGCATCTTTAACATTAAATTATTACTGGTGCTTCTTACTAGAGACTTTAAATGATACTTCCAATTCTGCTAAAATATGAAGTTTGCCTGAACTGATAGGTATTTTTCTTCCTGCTTAATATATGCCTGGCTAACTGTGCACACTTGTACACTAATATAAAACTCTGACTTCAGAACCTTCTCCTTGAATTCATTGTGGGAGAAAAATAAAAGGGATATCTTGGTCTTGGTTTTTCTCCTTTTAACAAAGCTTGCATGTGGAAAGCAGGGTATCTCAACAGTTTCAAACACTCCTGAGCCTATTCTAACTGAAACTCTACCCTATGGCTTTAACCGACATAGGAAAGGCCCTACACTGTGGAACTAGAGACAAGAACCATCAGTAAAAAGATGCCAGATTTTTGCACCCCATGTTTATTGCTGCTTTATTCACAATTGGAAATACATGGAAACAGCCCAAATGTCCAAAAATGAATGACTAGATTAAAAAGATGTGGTACATATACACAATGGAATATTACTCAGCAACCAAGAAAAAGAAACACATGTCTTTTGCAGCAACATGGATGGAGCTGGAAAAATCATGCTTAGTGAAATAAGTCAGAAAGGAAAAATACCGGATGGTTTCTCTCATAACAGGAATATAATGGAACAGGCGAGAAAATAGTGATAATGATGAACAGCTATATACCAGAGACATTTTGTGGGGGTGGAGTGGGGAATGGGATTAAAAACAGTGGGGGGAGGGAAATGCACTGGACTATTGTGATGGCACATGGGTGATTTGGTGATGGGAAGCCCACAGGGATTGCAATTAAGATGGAAAAATGCACAAAAATATGTAAAAATAAACTATTATAAAATTAAAAAAAAAATGCCAGGTTTCCCCTTTACCCTTTTTATTACTTTGTGAACCACTTATAAAGGAGTGCCAGCTTTCATTTTCACAAATAAAAGAACCCTACTTCAATTTTCAAAACAGATTTTGCTTTTCATTCTGGCCTTTCTAATGCACAGATTTTTAAAGTTGCAGAACAGAAATAAACCTAATGTTTTATATGCTCCCATTACAAAATTAGGTACAATAAATTTTGTAGATCAGAAAGATACCAAAAATAATGTAACCACTTTAAAAAAGTTGGCTAGATGAATCAATAAACATAAGAGTTATGAAGAGGAAAGATGGTAACTCTTCTAATTTTCAGAGGGTAAAAAACGAGAAAAAAGAAAACATGCTTTTATAAAGACCTTTGGTGAAAATTAGAAGGAATCTACCTAGAATAGCTATTAAAATTTTAAAAGGACTGCTCCAAAATATTGAAGAAAGCTGAGGAGAAATAATGCTTACCAAAGGAATGAGCAAGTACGATAATTATCAACTATATAATACAGCTGCTTATTACTGTTGACATTCAAATCCAGAGTGAAAATACCATCTGTATACTAATGGATAATATTCAAGGTACTTTAATATGTATTATTTCATTTGTTCCTCAGATCATTCTTTCTTACTATATAGACTTAAAAAATGACTCTCAAAAAGTTAACAAAACTGTTCCTTCAAAAACAGGCATAGTTTCCATTTAAAATCTGTTTAAAAAATTTAAGTGAGTTTCTTTTTGGAAGGAAAAGATTAATGTCATGTAAGTAAAAGTATCAAACCTAAAAAAGACAAAATCTTATCAAATGTTTTATTATATAATAGGAAATATTATACAAAGTTTTCATAAAAAAAATTATGAACAGTATTTTCTCTAGTTCACTCCAGTCAGTAAGCCTTATACTAAGAACTTAACATTAAAGAATGGTAAATATCACAAAATTATAACTCTAAAAGCAACAATAAATTTCAAGAGAAGTTGATGGTAAGAGTTTAAAGAAAATCCGGTTAGTCATCATATTCTGGAGACAATAATCCCATTTCAAAATATTATTTGTATAATCAGTAGGTGCAAAAAGAATGTTCTGTATCTTTGGACTTCTTAATTGTAAGATTGGATGTCACTTTGTAAGTGACAAATTAAGAAAACTAATCATTCTAAAGTATTTAAATAAAGGCTATACAATTCAATGTATTTTAAATGTCTCTAGTCAATCTTGCTAACAGTCCTCTTTTTCTTAACTAAAATTATCACTATTTAAAAGTAATCTAAAATAATTTCAATAGTTGGAGTTTGGGTGAAAGTCTGATTAATAAAATGTGGCAAAACTATATTCTGATTACTTATTATCAACCTGCTAAAGGTGTAATGGCTTACAACTCTGAATTTAAAGTTATCTGCATCAATTAGTGTGGCAGATAAAATAAATCACTATTTTATTATGTAACTGTAGTCACTATCCAAAAAATTTCAAAATATATTGGAATCCTAAAAATAAATATGCAACTTCTATGTATGAAATGTCAATTCTGAGCAAATAGTATTAAGTTTTAAAAGTGAACTTTTCTCCCTCAAAAGCATTCATTAAGTCTTTCTGAAAAACAATATTTATTTTTGAACATAATTGACCTTAATAAAGATAATTACTTTCTGTATTGCAGAAATTCTAATCAGAATCCTCCCACATGATTTCAACTTGACTACTCCTTGATTATCTACTGATCTTATTAAATATAAGATCTAAATGTATTTATGAGTTTAATGTGTGGAGGTATTTTAAAATACCTTTCTAACTATACTAGTAAGAAGGCAGTGTGTCCTACTGTGGAAAACTCACTAGCGGGAGGCATAAAACTTAATCTTGGCTTTGCCATGGAAACACTGTGTATCACTAACTAGGTCACAATTTTCATATTCTACCGACTTACTTCATTGTGCAGTTCCACTGCGCTAACCAAATAGTACGCAATGAAATATCAATGGCTAATTATTAGACTGTGTTTTGAAGTTGGGGTAAGAAGATCTGGCATTTGGCTTCGTAGGACCTCAATTTCCTCATTAGTAATTTGAGGAGACTGAACCACAGAAGGCCTACAATGTAGGGTAACATGCCAACAAAGCACACTGAGACAGAGACCAGTAAGCAGGAAGTTTATCAGGGAGTGAACCCAGAATGACTACTTGTTGGGGTAGGATAGAAAGAGAGGTGTGATTGTGCCACAGTCATTACAAGACATTGGCTGATACCATGGAGGCACTTTGGAAAAAAGATATAATGGCAGAGATGTTCTGAATTCAAACAGGGTCTTCCACAATTCTTCATCAACTAATGGCAGATGCAGACTGCCCTGTATGATGTGGGAAAAGCAGTTCTCTTTGTTACTTAGCAATGACAACCTTTACAGGTAGCTTCAGTTACTAATGCTCGTTAGCTAGGAAAATGAATGCTCCAGTCCTGACGCAGAGATTCTGGGCACTGCATCAAGTTCCACTACTACCAGGGTCCCTTCCAGTTTTATATTTCCTTTGGTTTTGAGGCACAGTAAACCTAAATCATCAGCAACATACATACTGAAAGACAAAATACATACTGAAAGATTACATATATATTAAGCTCAAAAAAACAGGTTGTTTTAACTGATAGAGGTCAGAACAGCCATTACCACTGAGTAGTACTGAATGATTAGAGGGCTTAAGAGACCCTTCAGGGGTGCTGATAAAGACCTGCATCTTGATCTGGAGTTTGATTTGTCAAAAATGTGTGATATCATTGTGCTGTGTGTGAAAACATGAATCCACATCTAATTCTCTGTGGTTTTCCCAAAATATAAAATGGTATTCATAGTTTAAAACAAACACTTGACATACTATGTGTAAACCAAACATAATTTTTTAAACTTTATAAGCATTCACTACTATGCTCCTTTTTGATAGTTTATTTATTCCATTTGTAATTTTTAAGAGTAAAGTTTAAGTATTCATACTCAAGGCATTCAAATGCCTCAAAAAAATGAAAACAAAAAACAAAATGACAAACTTATTTAGCAAGAGAGATTAAGTAATCAGATAGAGAGACAAGGAAACAAGATGCAGACAACTGGTCAACCATAAGCCTAATTACACTGAAGATCTGGATAAAATGTACCGTAGCAATATATTTTAAAAGATGAAGTATAGTGCTGCCACCTAGCAGACAAGATGATAATAACCAATTTCAGTTCTAAAACATATTTTAGAAAATGCAAAAATAACAAATTGCATATATTTTAGCAATACTCTTGTCAAAACAAAGATTAAAAACTACATTCCAAGTTTGGACAACAGCTGGAAATATCAAATACACTATCAAATAATTACTAAAATAGCCAGTGAGAGCTTGAACATTAGTACTTAGACCTACAAATCATATCCCACTTTTAACACTGACTCTAAAGATCCCAGAGCTGTGGATGCCCAGTCTCTAAGGATAAAGATGGTCAATGCCAGTTGTTTCCTGGTTAATGCCCTGTTGCTTTTCCCTAAAATTTTCTTGGAAACTTCATGGATGTTAAACAAGGGAAGCCAGGGATGCTAATATGCCAGACTTTGGATAGAGAGATTTTAAGCAAAGCAAACCTAAGGACATGTAAGATCTTCCTCCTTTACTAGGTGTCTAACCATCTGAATTCTAACATACAAAGGCCCCTCATCCTTGGTGCTAGAACACAGCAAAATTTCCCACTTTAAATTCTACCTATTCCACCGCCCCAAATTTTCATTCTTATTTAGGTATTACCAGAAAGTGCCAAAGTCAGTATCTAGTTGGGGTCCTAACCGAAAAAATGAAGACAATCTACACCATAGCTGTACTCTAAGAGCAGGACAAAGAAAAGACCACACTACATCTGGAGAATATATTACTGCTGAGAAAACTAGGCTAAGTCCATTGACCAGTTGAAGAAATAGCAGTAACAACTCTGTTTATGTCACTTTCCTAGAACAGATATAAAGTCCTATCATTTTATTGTACCTCAGCATTCTCACCCAAACAGGGTCTACAAGCTAAGCAATGGACAAACTTTCCAGAGACCCTCAAAACTGTTATGCCATTCACTGGCACAGAGAGTATCACACCACAAAAGAACAGCAAACACACAGAATAACAGTACAACACAAAGAAACTAGTACAGAGTCATGATCAAACATAACTGAGATTCCTGGAAACAGAGAGATCAAACTTCTAGATAGGCTTTACCTCAAACTAGATATACAGTGTAGAGCACAGGCAGTGAATTATAATTACTACCATGCACATGAATGGGTCAGGCATTGAACTTTGGGGTTTATAGACAAAAAGCACAATACCCAGTAGTCAGAAAAGCAAAGTTCCAGGATTTCAAGTCCCTATAGCTAAGGCTTAGGACCATTTGATTCATATCTCTAGATCACAATCTAATTATCTGCATTACAATGGTATTCCAGAGCATGTTCCATATAAAAACAGAAAAACAGTGAATGCCACTTAAGTGCCACTCAATAAAAAGGAAGATGTAGGTAAGTGAACCCACTATAAACTACCACCCTTAAAAATTCACAATGTGTGCTAATAAAGCAAAAGCATTGAGAAGTGCTTACAGTTAAGATATGTTTAATTTTACTTAATACCTTCTTTTCAAGACAGTGGGTCACTAAACTACTTTTTTTCTCTAATAAATTATAACACTGCAAATAAACGGAATTTTTATTATGTGACCCTGCAAAAAATAAAATTCAAGTGAAAGCAGGGACATCTCACAGCAGTATTTGTAACAGTCAAAAAGTGGAAACCACCCAAATGTCCAGCAACAGAAAAATGGGTAAACAAAATGTGGCTTGTACTAATAAAGGATTATTATTATTCACCTTAAGAAGGGGTGAAATTCTGATATATGTCACGACAGGTATGAACCTTAAAGACATTATGCTAAGAGAAATAATTCACAGACAAAAGGATAATTATTATATGATTCATTTATAAGAGGTACCCTAGGATAGTTAAATTCAAAGAGACAGAAGGTAGAAGAATGATTACTAAGGGAGGAGGTAGGAGAAGGATGGGAGATAGTAGAATGGTGATACAGTATTTCACGGGTACAGAGTATCAGTTTGTAAAGATGAAAAAATTTGAGAGTTAGAGGGTAGTTATGGCTGCATAACATGAATGTACTTAATGTAATCACTATACACGTTAAATGGTGAATTTTACATTGTATTTTACCACAATTTAAAAAACCCACATTCTGATAAAATATGGGTTCATATTCTCTTAATTCTAATAGTTTGTGATTGTGAAATCATTAAACCAGTCAATATAAATCATCTTACCTCAGCTACACAACAAATTGATCCCAAAGCTTCTCCACGAAAACCGTAAGTTGTCAAAGTTTGAAGGTCTTCATGGCTGGCTATTTTTGAGGTGTAGTATTTCACTGCCATTACAGGTGCATCAATGGCTTTAATACCCTTACCATTGTCTCGCACCTCAATTTTATCAAATCCATAGTTCTCCTATAGAAAAATTTAAAATACTTTTAGTATATAAAGATATTATCACAGAGATAATAGTTTCTACAAGCAGAAAAACAAGTTAAACAATTCTGTCACTTATTTCTCTTTTATGAAAGCTTAACATTAGGGAATGAGTTTAAATTCATAACTCTTAACTCTACTACTTCTCAGTTATGGTACAAATGGCAAGTCCCTAGTTTTCCCTGAACTCAGATTCAACTGTAAAACAAGGAAATCAGTCTGATGTTTAAGGTTTCCTTGTATTGTTTCAGTATTACAAGTATTTACGGTTAAATGTGTTTGAACTTGGCTTAAACTGATTCTAAATTATATTGTCTTGTATATAAAATCTCTCAAACAAAATAGAAAACTATCACCGTCAAAAACACCTATCCTGGGCCCGCCCTGGTGCCGCAGTGGGTTAAAGCACAGCACTAAAAAGCTAAAACCACTTCCACATGGGTTTGATCCCCGCCTGCCCAAGAGGTGACCACATCACGCATGGCAGACCTCTCCTGACCCACCCGCTGCTCCCCTCAGCAGTGTACTTTGACGATCTGCCTGTTCTGCTCCCCACTCTATCTCTGGTGAATCCTCACACAGCCCCTGCACCTCTGGCCTGTACCCCAGTTCTATATGTACAAATAAATCTTAAAAAAAAAAACAAAACACACCTATCTTACCCAAGAGTCTAGCAATTATCATTATTCAAATAATAATTTTTAATACTTCTTCCCTTGAAATACGTATTGTTATAAGAAATTTAGGTGTTTAATATATCATAAATTTATAAAGTTATTAGAAAAAAATAGGCAATTGCTGAGGAAATGCAGCTAATTTGGCAATCCTAGCTTTTAATTTGAAATCTGAGGAAAAATACCAACTCAATTCACAGATTTCTAATATACTAAAAATGTGCATATAAAACAAAAAATGAAAACTAAATTCCTATAGCGATCATAACATAAATATATTCTAAATTTGATAGCAAATTTCTGTAATACTCTTGACTTCACAAAATTTTATGTGTGTGGCTATAGGTACAAGTTATAAAGGGAAAAAAATGTCCATAAGTATTTAAAATAATATTATATCTTTTTAATAACCTATAAGTATATAAAAATGTATGTTAGAACTTTTTAGATAAAATTAAAGATACGGCCTTTCCTGGTGGCGCAGCAGGTCACCCCAGAGGTGAACCTACATGGCATGGCAGACCTCTCTCGACCTGCCCGCTGCTCCCCTCAGCAGTGTACTTCATCAGTTGGTCTCTTCTACTCCCTACTGTCTCTGGTGAATCCTCTCACTGCCCCTGCACCTCTGGCCTGTATCCCAGTTCTGTATGCATAAATAAATAAATCTTTAAAAAAAAAAATTAGAGATATAAGGTGTAAGGTTAAATATCTAGCATTTAGTTCTTCACCTCTTTTAAAGAAAAATTAACATTCTGTGAATAGCTTGGCCTACTTAATATTATAAAATATAATTATAGAAATGCAGATCTTTCAATATAAATAAGAACTCCATAATTATGTGAAAATACTGCTGGTCAGGGAAGTTACTATTATATGAAGTTATAATAAAATAACTTCTAGGCCCTCCCTGGTGGCACAGCGGATTAAAGCACTGCACTACGAAGCTTAAGCCACTTCCGCATGAGTTAGATTCCCGCCTGCCCCGGAGGAGTCCACATGGCGAGGCAGACCTCTCCTGGCCCACCCGCTGCTCCCCTCAGCAGTATACTTCGTTGATCTGCCTATTCTGTTCCCCACTCTGTCTCTGGTGAATCTTCTCACCCTCTGCATCTCTGGCCTGTACTCCAGTTCTATATGAATAAATAAAATCTTTGAAAATAAAATAAAATAAAATAACTTCTATAACATTATGTAGAATATTTTAAAACTTTAAAGCAGAAACTGATAAATATCAAAAGGCTAAAATATATAGTCAGATAAAATGTGTGCTTTACTTCTATAAGAGGACTTCTCTAGACCTTGTAACACTATTTTTTTAAAACGATCTTTCTTCTAGAAAACTTCAAGAATAATAAATGTTTGCCTATTGAAGGTGAAATTTGTCAAAATTCTGTAATATAATTATGTAACCCTATTTAATTATTATCAATCCAAACAGGCCAAACTATGCGAAATGTCTAGGGAAGAAAAGTCTTAGAAATTTCTGAGTTTATAAACTTAGTACTTCATTGTCATTTTTTCATGTTTATAAAGCTTAGTTAAAAACAAATACAGGTTTGATAATATATAAAACAGTAGTTCTTAGCACCAACTAGAAACATGCTGAATACAAATTCTGGACCATGTAACTGTCTCAACAAACTCTAAAATAATTCTGATGCACTCAAATGCTGTGAGATCCAATGGCACAGAGAAAAGATCTTAAATGGTTTTTAGAGTCAGAAAGACTGGATTCCAATCTCAACTTCACTAATAAAGAACACTATAAAAACAGTAGGTATCTTTTCTGCAAAGATATTTGTATCATAATACTAGATAATGTAAGTATCTGATAATTAGGACATCACCAAAAAATGCAGTTACAATGACTCCAACAAATGTATTCATCATTTATGTGCCAGGTCCTGGCCAAGTATGGAGGACATAAAAAAATGAAAACATTATAGATCTGACCTCTGTGTGTGTAAAGCACTCATTTTTATCTGGTTATATATTTTAGTATGTTGATATTTATCAGTTTTTGCTTTGTAAAGTTTTAAAATAATCTAATAATTTATAACAGGAAAGGTAACTATGCAAGCTAACTGTTAACAAATCCAACTAAATACCTTAAGTCATATTATGTCAATGCTTTAACATGTAATACTTAAATTTTGAAAAATGTGAAAACTATGAAGCAACAATGTAAACATTTTTGAAAGATTAGGTAGAAAAAAAATGAGTGCAAATGAGTATACATAAAACAAGTAACTATGACCCATGAATAAATATTAGTAGAAAATACAAGTTAAATTCATGTTTTAAAGCGAGTCCTAAAGAATAAATTTTATTTTATAATTTCCTCTAGTGTAACTAAAATTTGATTTAAATTAAAACTTAATTTTTAGAATTTACTTTTCAAGAAAAGGGTTTAATGTTTTAAGAACAATTTAGTGGTACACAAAAAGGTAATGTAAGAAAAAAAAATCTTAACTGACACTTTTTTTGCTTTATTTGAGGTATTATTTAACTTCCCAAAAACACTCACCAGCTTAACATCAATACTAGTGGCACCAGCATCTAAGGAGTTTTCAATAAGTTCTTTTACAACACTGACCACTGAAGTGATGATCTGAGAACTTGAAAGGAGTCGAACTGTCGCTGCAGGCAACTGTTTCATTGTAGCTTTAAAAAGAACAGCTAAAAGATAAAAATGTAAACTGTAAAAATAATAGTTGTTATATATTCCTAAGAAAACTGACAGCAACAATAATTGCAGTTCATTTTTATTGAGTCTCACTGTATGTCAAATCCATTGTAAGCATAGAGTACATACTCTTTGAAACAAGTGCCATTATCACCTCCAACTTATAAAACTAAGGCATAAAGAAGTTGGTTGGTAATTACACTATGGTTAAGAACTGAAGAATAAGAATAATTGTGCCATGAGTGTACTATATTATCTTCCTGGCTGGGAATAACCAGGTGGCCTTGGGATGTCACTAATGTGCCTTAAAAGCAAGCTCACTTAAATACCATTAATCATACATACATTTTGATGAGTTACAATGTCTTTTTCAATTAGTGAGCCCTTTCAGAGTTAGGACATTTAGTTACCTTGTTCAACATGGTAGCCACAGGTTTCAAGTGATTACTGAGAACCTGAAATGTGGATACTTCAAACTGAAATGTGCTCATATACTATGGATTTCAAACTCAGTATAAAATTCTTATTATTTTCTGTACTAATTACAGGATATTTTGAACATAATAATTTATCAAACATGTGACTTTTCCCCCAACCTTTTAAAATATAACTACTATAAAAGTTAAAAGTTACAGATGTGGCTTACACTATAGAACTATAGTTTTACTGGACAGTGCTGGATATACTAATACTTATAAGAGCAGGCTCTGAAATAACATTGCTTCTGGTTTCTATCCTACTTCTTATACCTTTATAATGCTGAGGAAATTCAAATTCTAAAACACAACCATCTACTCTATAAAATGGGCTTAATAATGTTATATGGTTGTATAAGAAGTAAATAATAATGTTACAAAGTTGAATAAGAAGTAAAAAACACTACAGTGTTTGTCATACAGATGTTAAAAAATCCTCAATATTTGGAGTAAATGGACTCTTTCAAACACATGGATGAAGAAAACCCCCCACCCAGCCCCCTACACAAACTTCTAATCCCTACCATCAAAGGGGCTAATCTGTGATCTAGCATCAGGTTAAACTTCAGTTCACTAAGTAGTCTACCTCTACCTTGAGACTTCTAATGATCTAAGAAAAATAAAGCCTCACTTCAGCCTTTACTTTTTATGAGAATTCGTCTTAATCCATCAACTTTGTTTCATTCTTTATAATTCATTTCCCAGAATCTCTTCTCTTTCTCTCTCATTTCCCAAATCCCTAATTTCAATCTAGTCTCACTCATTCTTCTAGTTTAAGGAGGTCAAAGCAGTTCATAATATGAATTGTATCTTCACATACTTACCTCCTCCATCTACCTTATTGTGTCCTCTTGTTTCTAAACATGTCTGAACCTCTATCCACACTTTCCCCCTAGTCTCAGGTCAATGTTTCTCCTCTCCTAAACTAAGCTAACTTTTACCTAGTTTGTTAGATCCTGTCTTACAGTCACTTTGGTCTTGAAAGCAAAAATATACAAAAAAACCTTTCTTCCGCTGTTTTCCAAATGAGTGTCTTACTTCTTTATAAAGACAAACTTGACTAGCCTATATGGGCTGTCATCAACTCACTTCTAAAACTGTTTGCAAAGTGGATTAACATGACATAACCTCTGTCAGGATTCTGTTTTCAAGTTTATGCTCTTAGATAACTAAATCCTTTTCTCAGGACTCATGTTCTTTCACATTCCTGAAGAATGTGTCAATGATGACATTCGGTAATTCTCAAGGATTTTTCTATCTGTATCTCTTTCATCTGTTTTTTGATTTCTAATTCTCTTTTCAGCAATGTGGGTATTCCCCAACCCACTGCTGCCCCTCATATTACCTTAAAACCTCAAAACTTCAGTTACATAATAACAAACAACTCTCATCTTTACCAGTGAACTCTCTCTTCCCAAGATAGTCAATTCTAACCACCAGTGACGTTTTCCTCAAAATAAGTATTTGTAAACAGGACTTATATTCCTGCTGTCTTTCCTATGCCTTCCACTTAACGTTACAGCTCCTTCTCTGTTCAACTGTTTTGACCACAGTTAAAAACCTCAATAGTCCTTTGCCACAATCTCAACCTACTTACCACCTCCCTCCATTTCATCCTAATGCAATCCTATCTATCATTCTAGACCCAGTCCATTTGCAACAAGACCCTTTCTGATCATCCAACCAGGAATATTTCTTTCCTCCCCCTACATTCCTAAAAGACTTGGTTTGTGTCACCCAAGGGATACTTAGAACACTTCTGTCCTTACCTATCTAACTTTAGAAATAGGGAATTATAGATTACCCATCTCTGAATGCCATACAGAACAATCAGTGTGGCAAGTACTTCGTGAATATTAAGGATCACCAAAAATTATTCTTTCAGTACTTTCCTCATGGTAATATAAACATTCAGAGTGTTCTTTTCCCCAGTAGCATTCTTTCCTCTGTACCTTCATAGCACCTTTTCCTTATTTCTAACCCAAAACTCATCACAGATTACACCAACGGTGTAATAGAGTGGAGGGTCAAGAGCTTATATTGATCACATATCCCTGACATAACCTCTGGACCATAACAAGCCCCAGATTGAATACCAATCCACTGAAAAGTGGATTTAAGTCAGGCTTACAAGTTACAGCACAGAAGGTTTTGGACTGTGAGGAATCAGTCTTCCATATTTGCTGAGAAGAAAATCAAAAACTCTTTGAGACGCCTGATGCCTAGGAAAGTCAGTTCAAGACAATAGTGCACCTAAAAAAGCAGAAATAAGAGAAGTAATAGGATATTGGGAGAACACAAAGAAATTTGTTTATAGATCATAATAAATCTAACCCAACTATTTTCATAAGCTAACAGAAATGCAAAGTATACAAATAGCTAACAGTCTCTTACATCAATTTCAACGTTAAAGTTCTTAAGCAAAACAAGTCACAAACTGAGTGCTGCCAAGTTGAGATTGACACCAATGATGTCAAAGGTGATTCCAAGTATTTGATTTTTCTGTTGTTTCTTGGAATCCACATTTCCTCAGCACATAACCCAGGTGGGCGTCTTCAGAGTGTGGATACATCCGAATACTAGAAAAATAGCAGCTAAATGAAAAGAATTTGCTAGCCCCAACCAGTTTGATGCTACCACACACTTTATAATGCCAGACTCTCAAAACAGGTTACCGCTCTCGGGTCCTGTGTAATGGTTCTCCCTTGCAAATAAAGGACTTTTAGGTCCTGCACCCGGCAGTACATGAGGGGACGGAGCTACCACAAAGGCCCGAACACATTTGTTTAGGGTAGGTCTAAGCGGGACACCAAGCAGCCCCGGGGCGCTCGGGCACCGCTGCCCACGTGCGCGCGCTCGCGAGCGTGCGGACTGCACACACTTCCCGCGTCGCCAGGTGGGCGCCCAGATTGGCAGGCGGGGTGGTGGCCCGAGCCGACGAGTCGAGGTGGGAGAGAGCCCTGGGCCTACGAGAACATAACGATGAATGCCTGTTAGCCACAGGACACTACCTTCTTGTTCGCACGAGGCGGACAATTACCATCCATCCACTAGCGGACGAGCTGGCGTCCCGCCGGCAGCCCAGGCCCGAGCCGGCAGAATCCCGAGCAGCCCTCAGCGCGCGCGCGGCGGGGCGGCACCAGGCGCACAGCACTTGGTCCCGCCCCGCGGCGGGAACGTGGGATTGGCGCAGCCGTCAGCCAATCGCGCGGCAGCTCGTTCGGCACGCAAAGCTTCCGCAAGCTGGGCTGCGCTGGGGTTTGCCAGAGGCGTTCGGACGGACGGAGAAGCGATAGCAGCTGGACGGGTCTTGCTCTGTGCCGGCCGCCGGGAGCCGGGCGGCGGGTGAGTGGGCACGAACGGCCGCAGGGGTTGTGCTGCGCTAGTCCGTGATAGGGAATTGCTGGCGGGCCACGGTCAGCCAGAGGGGGAAGAGTGGGCTCTGGATGAGTCCGCGGCGCCCTGTCTGGAGGTGCTGGCCAAGTGCCCCCGGAGACTCGCTCCCAAGTGCTCTTCATCGGGTGCTAGTACTGACTGAATGTGCAACTCCAAGAAGGAAGGGGCGAGTGGCGGGAGCGTCGAGGGCGGTTTAAGCAGTGAGTTGTGCAGCGCTTCCACCGGCCGAGAGCTGAGGCTGCTGGGGAAGGCTGCCCAAGGGGGGGCGTGCGGGTTGCCGCCCTCTAGGCATCCGCGAGGGCCCAGCCCGAGAGGCTCTTCACTGTCATTGTTTGCCAGTCCTCCTTGGAAAGATGTTCTGAAACGGCGTAAGGTCAGTTGCACCACTTCCAGCGCAGATGTAAATTTTAAGGTACATTCGAGAATTTTTTCCCCATTCCGTGAAAAGTGGACAGACTGCCTTGAGTGGTGCAGCATGTTCCAAACCTAATATAGCATATGAAAATAACATGATACACGGAAGAAATATTTACGGGTAAGTTTGAGGCTTTTGCTTCATTCATCTTAATGGAAACCAACTATAATCACTGTGAACCTTCCATAGATTTTTTTTTTTTTTTTTTGGAGTGAAAAGGAGACTGTCCAGCAGAAACACTCAAGTGGGGTTATGAGAAATCCTCTCGCCAAGTCCTATGAATAGAAAATGTTTATATATTTTAAAATCAGAGCTGTTCCAGATACAATCTAGCACCACATTCCTACCTCCCCAACCCCCTGATTGGTTTCTACCCAAATAATAACTTTTTCAGGACAATTTTTTTTTTTAAAGAGATTGTTAGACCCAAGCAGACACCGTCATTAAAATAAATAGAAACTGTTACCTGTTCTTCCTTTGGTGTTTCTCTTTAGAGGGAAAGGGAAAAATTTTTAAAAAGAGAAGGCTAAAGTTTTAGGGAAGTAGATCAGAATTTAAATAAGCAACAACTGTTTTAGCCCAATTGTATCATGAAATTGAGACTCATACCTTAACCTTAACCCACCTAAAATTTCCACCTCATATGTCAACAGCAATTTTTCCCACATTCAGTATTCAAAGAATGATTTGAACTTTGACCACCCTTTATGAAACCAACATTGCATTATTAGGTGTAAGAATGGCTCTCCTAGCTGGGTCAGTTTTGTTTTTGTTTCTGTTTTGTTTTGGTTTTAATATTAGCTTTTTCTACTGGTAAATTTAACTCTTGGGTTTTCCTTGTGTTCTCATAATACAAGAAAGTGTAGGTTTTCCTGCCCATTATTTCAGTTACTAACATCAACATGCTAGAAGAGAAACTTTGGGGAAGAAGTTTTGCTGTTTATATTTTCAACGAGAGCCATAAAAATAATTACTGTTTTACCAGAAAGTAGGATGTTAAGATTTCTTTACTGTGCTTATCAGCTTCTGCAAGTAGCATCCTTTGAAGGTGTGTGTATTCTACTTCAGAATAATTAGGGGAGAAAATAATCCTAGTAATATTTATTTTATCATGTCAGAATTAGGACTATTTAAAGTTTCTAGTTATATCAGTATTGATTGATCTCATTGCTCTCCTGTACAGCAAACATGAATGTTGGAGTTGCCCACAGTGAGGTGAATCCAAATACCCGTGTTATGAACAGCCGGGGTATGTGGCTGACATATGCTTTGGGAGTTGGCTTGCTTCATATTGTCTTACTCAGTATTCCCTTCTTCAGTGTTCCTGTTGCTTGGACCTTAACCAATGTTATACATAATCTGGTAAGAATTGCACTTTATATTAAACACTTAAAAACTTAAGGTTAAGTAGTTGTCAAGGATTGGGAGAGGAAGAAAGAAGAGGTTATTATTTAATGGTACAGTGTTAGTTTTCAAGATGAAGTGTTCTGGGGGTGGATTGTGGTAGTAGTTGCATAACAATGTCATTGTACTTAAACCCTAAATTGTACACTTAAAAATGGTTAAGATGGTACATATTTTATTGTGTGTAGTTTAAAGATAATTTTTAAAGGTTTATGGTTAAGGTAGCATAGCACATGGAAGAAAACCACATGGCTTAGTTTTTTAAACAACTTTTATCAAGATGTGATTCACATAATATAAAATTCACCCATTTAAAAATATACAGTTTTGTTCATAGCTATGTACTTTTGAAGAATTCTAATCTGGGATAAAATCTCACATTTTATATGTAAATATTGGTTTCTTTCTCTAAGTACAATTTTTTTCTTCTGGGGCTTCCCTGTGGCACTGGTGCAGGGGTTTAAGTCACAGCACACCTATCACCAGCTACTGTGACCAATCCCCGGCCAGGGAACTAACCCACAAGGCACAGCAGACTTCTCCTGTCTTGCCTGCTGCTCTCCTCCGCAGTGTATTTCCCTAAATACACCTGTTGTGCTCCCATATCTGTCTCTCTGAATCGTCTCAAGCCACCCACTTTCTCCACCTCCCCTACCTCTGGCCTACACCCCAATTCTTGCATGCACAAATAAATAAAATGATAAAATCTTTAAAATAAAAAGAGATTTTTTTTTCTATTTTGTTTCTATAGAATGTAGAAAATAGGTCATTTTAGCAAAAATTACAAGACATTGTAATTCAAACTACTATAATATATTGGTTAGTGAAAATGTTTCAGAATTAATTACATTTTGTTGGTGTTAATTGGAAAGTTAATGAACTCCTGGTTAAATCTTTAACTCCTGGTTAAATCTTTCTAAATTGTTACCTTTCCTGCTTCAGTATAGAAATTTTGAACTGAATCATGTCTTATATCATTCAGGATCTTACAATGCCTTAGTTTCTTTATGATGGTTAATTGCTCTTCTATATTATATGGTAGCTTTACTACGTTTCAGAGGTTTGATTGACTCTTTTGATCTTACTATACAGCCCTGGAAATTGCCTGTTTAAAGAAAATCCTGAATGGTGACTTCTTGTATTTTACAGCTTATAAAATAGAATGAATTAAGAATTTTAATTGAATTCAGATTACATATTTATTTAAAGAAACAAAGAACTTAGAACAGTAAGCTAGAAAAGATATGAAAAAGATTTTTAAATTAATGTTATTTATTTTGTATCTCCTGGAAAGTATTTAAAGTTAACGGAAGAGAACAGAATGATGTGATGGTAGAAATAAAAAATGTCCATTTACTTCATTTTATGTGATAGACTTCATGCATTTTAAATAGTGACTTCTCTGAAATATTTGACACTAATCATACTCTTTTATTGAAACTCTTTTCCTTTGGCTTCCATGTTATCACTTTTTCCTAGATTTAGTTCTGATCTTTCCTTTTCTAGTTCCTCTTATACAGTTTTCCTTCTCTTCTCCTCTCTTAAGTACTGCTGTTTCCAAGACTTTTTACTTTATCCCTTATGTTCTAGTCTGTCTGTTATTAATCTTTCATATTTTTAGTTTTTATCTATAGAACAATGACATATACCTTTATGTAACCAAATCAAACAAACCAGTATGAATGAATTTATCTTATTCTTGATCTGTCCCTTGCCAGTCACTATATGTCCCTGTTTTATCCTAGTTAGTCTAAAGGTACCACTGTTTCCTTAGCGAGCCATACCAGACACCTGAATATCAAATGTAAAGTGAATAATATATCATTTAAACTGAGGCTATTTGGAGAGTAAAGGGAATGAATACTCTAGTAATAATTACTCTAAGAAATAAATGTAAATTAGGCCCACCCATGTGAATGAGGATATATGCTTACCTTAGTTTTAGGGTAACTTTCTTCCCTTTTATATTCTAATCCATTTAGCTAAAACCATGACTTTGTCAACATGATCACCACTAGCATTGTAGTAATTCATCCCCTCATTTGATTTCTCAGTTCTATTACTCCATATACCAAATGGTCTTCTTGATGTCCATATATTCTACTCTTTTCCACTCCAGCATGACAATGATTTTTTTTAATCTGTTCAAGTCACACTCTTTTTAGTTTTTCATTGGTTTCCCTTGCATTCATAGTAAAATTTAAATTCCTCGTGCATAGGAAACTCAATTGATAACAGTGCAGAGCAAGAGAGGAACTCATTCAGTTCCTCCAGTCCTTATCCACAAAGAAATTATGCTCTAACAATAACACAATTCATCGTGCTCTCACATTTTTTTACTTTGTTTAGGCATTTCTTCCACTATTTTAATATACCTCCCTCCTATCTGCTTACTTGGCTGTCTCCTACTTGTCAAGCAAAATTCTACTCAGGCTTCACCTGCTCTAAGAAATTCTAAAACTTTCATGCTGCATTCTTTGATTATCTAGTTATTGTAGTTTTATAATTAGTAGTGTATCTCTTGTTTTTGCATCTCTAAAGACTATTTAAATGTTCACTGAATAAATTAGTCCATATTGTCATACAATTTTTCTTCTCCACTAACACTTGTAATTAAATGCATCTCCTGTATTTTCAAGTTGATTGGCTAATTTTCAGACATGATACATTGCCAGGGAAGGACAAGTAATGGACAACATGTAGGAAAGCAAACTTCTGACTTAATAATTCAGCACACTAAACTAACTAGCCATAGATGTAGCAATTACATGACTCCAAATTTAAGTTTCTTTTGAAGGTAGACTACCGTAAGCCAATTAAAAGTGTGAAATACATACTGAACACTTTTAAATATGGTAAAATAAACATAATTGTTATCCCTGGTAGAAAATTACTGTCTTTGCCTTTCTGAACCATATGTTAGAAATTTACAGTAATTATTCTTTTTCAATGCTATAGTTTACTCCTAGAGAAAATTCGTAGCCTAGCTTTTAAAATTAATGAGAATTTTCATCATTTTCACTGAAGACAATAATAAAAAAATGTATGTTATATTGTAAACGCTTCAAAATATTTTGAAGGAAATGGCAAGAGAATTGTAGGGATACTTAACTTTTTTAGGCCATATACTTATGAGAATTTGAAAACAGCAATTTCTCCTAGTCTTCTCTAAAGTCTATCTGAACATAATTTCCTTGTGCTTACAGAATATACTTTTTGACTTAATCTTTCCTGATGTCTAGGACTTGCTGTCAACAGCATTTGTTCCTCAGGCTTTTAGGCTAAAGGGAAAACAAACATTATGCAAGCAATTCCAACACAATATATTGTGTTATAGTAAAATGTCTTTTCAATAAAATTTTATACAGCTATATAGATGGGTTAATTATTATTTACAAGAAACATTTCACCAAAGAGTTGTCATTTGAACTGAACCTTAAAGAATGGGGTAGTTGACAAGAAAGGCTTTTGCCTCAGCAAGAAACCTTTCCCTCCTCTGCATTTCCTAAGTACTCTGATTGTACCTTTGATAGCAGTTTCTGCCCTACATTCTAGTTGCTTAGGCATATCTTTTTTTTTTTTTTTTCCCCTTACCATCTCCTAGAAGAGTGAATTTTTTCAAAACTTGGGAGGGGGTGTCTTAGTCTACTCCATCTATATTATATATGTATGTATATGTGTGTGTATATAATCTGGGTTTTGTACATATTACTTAGTTTGTTGAATTAAATCCAAGTGAACAACAATTCATTCCTCTGTAGCTTAGAAGTTATTGTAGCCTGACAACTTTTGAATTGCCTAATGGGATAACTATGAAGTAGACTAAGCTTTGAAAAGAAGGACTCAACCTACTACAATAACAAACTCTTACAGCGACTAACTTCTGTTTCGTCACATTTCTTCAGATTTATTAAAAGTTGAAGTAGGTATAAAGGAAATCATGACTTCATGTGGGAAAACTGTTTCATGATAATATTTAGACTTTATTCTGCTACTAGAGCCTCAAACAGAGATTCTGTAATGTGTACTACCTGTCATTCTAAATAAGCACTGTAAGCTCAAGGAAACTAACTCTAGAATCTTGTCTTTTTCCTGGTTAGTCACAAAAGTAGATATTTAAGCATATCATAGGACAGAATGAATTTTAGTAACACTTTTTACTTTGATTAAAAAAAAAAAAACTAACTTCAGGGCCCTCCCTGGTGGTGCAGAGGGTCAAAGTGCAGCACTGCAAGCAAGCTGCAGTCGCTTTAGTGCGAGTTTTCCTAGGCTCTGAAGGTGATCCACATGGCAGACCTCTTTTGACCTGCCTGCTGACCCCCTCAGCAGTGTACTTCATTGATCTGCCTGTTCTGCTTCGCATTCTGTCTCTGGTGAATCCTGTCACATCCCTGTGCCTCTGGCCTGTACCCCAGTTCTGTATCAATCAATCAATCAATCAATCAATCAATCAATCAATCTACCTAACTTCAGAAGCAGTGTTATTGAGGAATAGTGTTGATTGATTTATTTAATCTTAAAAGGGTAGGTTTGTTAGAAAGGCACTACCTAGTCAGGCATGAGAGCTGCCACGATGGTGACATAAAGAGCCAATTGGGTTAGTTTTATGTATTATATCAAGCCATCTTTGTAGAAGGAACTATTGAGATGGAAACTGTCATAATAATAACTGTTTTCAAAGCCATTTTCCCTTTGATAGAGATGTTACTATTATTTTGTTTTTATTTATCAATGTATGTTTTATTATTTTAAAAGTATTACCAGATTTATTATAGCCTCTGGAAAAAAATTATGTATATGTTAGGGGAAAAAAAAACGTATTTCCTAATAGAAAAGGTGTTAGAAATTAATTTTAATGATACTAAACTACCTTTATATTACTTGTTAATTTTGAATCTAGTAAGAGATGAAAATAGGTTGTCTTTGGTCAAACTTTTACTGGTTTTCGCCAAACAATATTTATATGCCCCTGAAAACTTTTATTTTACTATGAAGAAACTGACCATAGCCATTCATAATAATATGAAAGTTTAAAGCATGAGCTGTTATGTGAAATTAAACTCACTCTCATTCTGGTACTATCTTAATGCTGATTGACTTAATTTTGCAATTTGCTGTTGATTTATACCCTCTTGCTTATTTTTCAGGGTATGTTTGTATTTTTGCATGCAGTAAAAGGAACACCATTTGAAACTCCTGACCAGGGTAAAGCAAGACTCCTAACTCATTGGGAACAACTGGACTATGGAGTCCAGTTTACTTCTTCACGGAAGTTTTTCACAATTTCTCCAATAATTCTGTAAGTGGCAGGAATTTTTAGGTGTAAGGAATTAGATAAAACTATTCTTCATTAGACTGAATTTGAATTAGTTGTAGAAAACCTCTTATCACTAAATAGCTATCTCAGAGAGAATGTAAGTAGAGGCAAAATTGTTAACAAAATAACACCTAGTAATAACCAGTTTTTATATGGAGATATTACATGCTCAACTATTGCCTAGACATCGTAGAATATACAGGTCAAATATCGATATATTCTATTTGTTCTTGACCTCAAGCAGCTTACAAGAAAATTCAACTATTGATCATATTCTAAATTCCACTGTTCAATTTAGTCTGCTTCAGTGTTCTAGGTTAGGGGCCGCCCTGGTGGCTATCACTGCTGTGCCTGAGTTCAGTCCCCAGCCACGGAGCTAACCCACCTGGTGCAGCAGATATCTCCTGCCTTGCCTGCTGTTCCCCCCAGCAAAATATTTCAGGCAATCCCCTGCTCTGCTCCTCACTCTGCCTCTGGTAAATCCTCTCACTCCCCACACCTCTGGCCTACACCCCATTTCTTCTATGCATGCATGCATAAATAAATAAATCTCTTAAAAAAATAAAATGATCTCAGAAAAATCGATAAAAGATATCTCAGAAAAAAATTTCATTGATAGAACTCCACTTGGGTGTATAAATTCTTGGGAGAGACATGGTTTCAAGAAAATAGAAGTTAAGCTTTTTCATTGTAGTACAGACCTGGGTCAATCACTCAATTAGCTTGGTTGACTATAAATAAAATTATAATCAATGGTCTCTAACTCAGTCTAATACTGTAGGTAATAAATGAGCTAATACCTTTCTGTAAAGCACCTAAACTTGTATCTAATATCTTAATTTGTTCCTCTTACCTGATATTAAGGGCTTTTAATAAATTGGTTCTCTCATTTTTCCTTATATGAATATTTGATCCCCACCCAACCCTCACCCAGTCAAGCTCTTTAGCATGTCCTGAATACTTAATATATTTCTATACCTTTAGCCAAACTATTTCTCCTACTTGAAATATCTTCTCCTTTTTTAATTCTTTTTTTTTTTTTTAAAGATTTTTTATTTATGCACACAAAACTGGGGTACAGGCCAGAGGTGAGAGGCTTCACCAGAGACAGAGTTGGGAGCAGAACAGGTAGATCAACAAAGTACACTGCTGAAGGGAGCAGTAGGTGGGTCAGTAGAGTTCTGCCGTACCATGTGGATCACTCCGGGGCCGGGATCCAATTCATGCTGAGGTGACTTTAGCTTCTTAGTGCTGTACTTTAACCTGCTGCACCACCAAAGAGCGCCTGTCTTACTCTTTTTTTAAGACTTAAATTCTGTTTTTTCAGTGAGGTCTCTTCCTCAAGCTCTTAACCTTCAATGATAATGTTCTGCTTTTAACTTCCAAGTAATTGTTGTATATCCTTCATTTTTGTCACTTTGAATTATTTCTCTGTTACAGTGTTTTATCACTGCAGGTTTATAAGTATCACAGATTTCTTTGATTCCCACCCTCAATACAGTTGTTTGGATATGTTTCATATTTACTTTAATTACATATGTTTTACATATATCTTAATCAAACCCTGTGCCATACAGCTTGTGTATAATATATTCATGATAGAATGAGTACAGTCTAGAGTAGCTGGAAAGATACTTGAAGGTATTTATAATTCCTAACCTGGGATGTAAAGTAGGACAATTTTTGATGTTTAGAAGAAGGGATTTTCAATTGAAAATAAACTGATCATAAAGTGGTAGGTTTCTTTATAACAATTTGAAGAAATTTTTAATTGTTAATCCATACAAAATTTATGTCAAAAGAAAATGATTGATATGACTTACTATAGATAAGTGTAATAACAAGAGTAATAATTATTCAAACAGCCCTACATTTTGATTTTAGCTTTACTACTTTCTAGTTTTGTGATGTTTGGCCATTTTCTTGAGAGCCTCAGTATCCTCATCTATAAAATATCTTAGAAGCCTGATTTACACTGAATTTTCAGTGATAGCAGGCACAAAAAAGGTCAACAACTTACTTATTATCACCATATTTCTAAAATAACTTTACCCTACAGGATGATTTCAAAAATATTAATTAAATCCCTTACATAACTGAAGAAACAGCATTAAAGCCATCTATTTAACATTGATACTTTTTAAGAGTGCTTTCACATTTTCTAATTGGTTGTCATTGGTCAGGTAGGTGAGACACAGAGTTATCCCAGATTTTTACATAAAGAAACAGACAAATGTAAGACCTTACTTCAGATCTTGCAGGTAGTTAAAGCCAAAAGCCCAGCTTAAACTCATCTTCTAGTTTCTAATACAGGTCTCTGTCTTGTGTACCCTTTGGCACGTGAACACTATACACTGATTTCCACCTGGTAATGATAAGGAGAAGCCATTCTAAGATTTATTATTTCCAACATACTAGATTATAAAACTAAAGTGATGATGGAAATCAAATGAGCTTACCAAATAGAAATTGCATCCTGTTCTGTTCAGTGAAGGAAATATAAAACCAGTTCTTAAATATGTGAGAGCAAGAAGAATTTAAAGTATAAATTGAGGAGTGAATGCTCTATACTTACAAAAAAACTTTGTGAAATTAAAAAATGAGAGATTGTGAATTAGAGGAAAGATTATTTCTCTATCTAGTTCTGAAAATAATGTAGGTAGCTCTCTGTAATGCCTTTGGTCATATCTGGAAATAGATGTTCTTTTCCAGCCATATTATACAAAATATTTATCTCCAATTATTAGACACAAGTCATAGTACTTACAGGGAAAGCTATTAAAATACATTCCTTTCTGCTCTAAAAATACAAATAAGACAAGTACCCACATACACACTAACTTCTTAGTTATGATCAATAAGATACCAATGTTTTAGTCTCCATATCTCCATTAGGATACTGTTATCATAGCCAGGTGATGTGTAGGCTCTCTGTTGTACCCTTAGTTAAAGCTAGGCATTCTGACTCAATGATTTATGGGCTTCAGCTTTGATGTAGGATGTCTTAGAATATACATATGCATTCAGTGATAGCAAAACAACTAATATTTTACAACCATGTCTTAGAAGTTTCCAGTTAAACTGGTCATAGGCTTGTTCAACTACAATATGGAAATGAGACCATCAAAGTACATTTAAGTATTTATTTTCATTCAAAGATACTAAGTTGTTGTATTGCACTAAAATTGTTTTCCAAAGCTTTATACCAGTAGTTCTTAACATTTGGATGAGTCACAAAACTCTCTGAGAAGACAATGGATATTTTGGATCTTAATCTTCAGAAACATACACATAGATACAAAACTACATCTGAAATTTCAGAGAGCTTATGAACCCATTTGAAGACCTGTTTAAAGGACGCTCAGTAGCAAATGTGTGCTATTCAGTGCACTTCACATATACATAAAAATGCTAAGTATGCATGTAGGCCTCCATTAAATACATTGTTAAATCCCAAATAAAATTATTTTAGAACCCCAAAGTAAAATGCCTTCTCTTGTTTTAGTGCTCAGAAATGGTTTGCTTTAGGTATTTATGTTTCAGTTGCCTTTTTGTATTTCAGAAGTATTGCACTTAGAAATCAGTAGTAGAATATTCCCTTTTTATGCTTGACTTTTCACATGTATTTTTAAATAATCAGTAATCTATACTTTAATAAAACATTTCTTTGGTGTAGATTGTTGTAAAAGCTCTCTAAATTCAGTCATTTTTAATTTTTTAACTATCAGTAATTTCATTTTTAGATATTATATATATTCTTTTATTTCTGCAGATATTTTCTGGCAAGTTTCTATACGAAATATGATCCAACTCACTTCATCCTAAACACCGCTTCTCTCCTGAGTGTGCTAATTCCCAAAATGCCACAGCTACATGGTGTTCGGATCTTTGGAATTAATAAGTATTGAGATTTTTTGAAGCTAAAAAAAAATATTTTCCGCTACTGAGTTTCCTATGAGGAAGAAGTGGTTAGTAAACTGCACTATTTCTATGATAATGTGAAAATGAGGTATTTACATTGGAGGACCAACTGTTAGTTCTTCATATGCTGTTTTGAAGTGCATAGTTTTACTAAAAGATGCCTCTGTTTAATGCATCTAGTATATTTCTGAAGAGAGGCTTTATAGGTAACCTTGCTGGGCAGGCCCAGCTTATAAGTTAAATGACTATAGAGTAAGGGTGTAATAGATAAATCCAAGCCAAGTAAGATTTGTAAGAAATTAGGACCAGCTTAGCTTATAGTTGAATAGGTATTATGTTAGGAGGAGAAAATTTCCAATCATTAAGTCATGGTCACTTTTAACAGACTTGCATATAAACCAAAATCATCTCTTTACAAGTTTATTATTATACATTGTTTTTTTATTACCATACATATTCCTCTGTGTTACATAGGAGGATATATACAAGCCAGTTTCTATCTTATGAGTGTGCTTTTAGGTGGCTCAACATTGTGTGTTGATAGATGAGGTCATTTTTATATTAAGTTACTGAATTGAGGATGGTCTACCTTTATGACTGATAGATGATAGAAAATAGGTATATAATGGCTTCTCAGTCAGTCTTCTAATTTTGGAACAAAATGGGGTTTTTTCTGCCTTTACAGATACATGGCTGCTAAACCAAATAAGGGAATAATTTATTTCACACAGTTAAATTGTGTAATAATTTAAAGAGCTCTGCTTAGCTGGTTGAGCAACCTAAATGTTAAAGTTTGCCATTCATAGAAAAAGAAATATAAAATGGACAACTATATAGCCAGCCTTTGGTCTGGCAGAAATTATTTCTCTATCAATAGTACCTAAGAAAATAGTGAAGTCTTTTTTTGCAAGCCTGCAGTAAAAGGTAACATTGGTTTTTCTTAGTATTCCTGTTCTCAGCCTTCCTATTTTGCCCATTAACATTTTCAATACATGAGTTTTATTGAGTAACTTAAAATGGTAACCATTTTCAAAGCAGCAACAATATTGAATTCTTGTGACTTAGAGAAGCTTCTTATAATTGCTGATATTAATTGCAAGAAATGATCTGTATACTATTAATGTTTACTACTGTTTACTAAGAAGTAAACATGTCAAACAAGCAAAGTTCTGATATGGAATAAAATTGAAAACATTTGTAAACAAAACTGAGTGAAGAGTTATAGACAAACTTAAAAATCAACTTGTTTCAATAAACTGACTTTTGGGGTACTGATCATTGTTTTATATTTCAAAAGTATTGCATTTAGAAATCAGTTGTATGATAATACCTTTGTACGTTTGTCTTTTCCATGTATTTTTAAATAACCAGTAATCTATACTTGAATAAAATTTTTCTTGGTCTAAGTTTATTGTAAAAGCTCTTTAACTTCAGTCACCAAAGAAACACTTTGCAAATTTTTTGGGTAGTGAGAAGATTCACCAATGACAGACTGGGGAACAGAACAGGCAGATCCACTGAAATACACTTCTGAGGGGAGCAGTGGGCAAGACAGGAGAGGTCTGCTGCGCCATGTGAGTCAGCACCCTGGCTAAGGGGATCAGACTCATGCCACAGTATCTGGTAATAGCTTGATAGTGCTGAGACTTTAACTCCTGTGCAGTCATGGAGAACCCCCAAAAGGCTTTTTTTTTTCCTACACAGATTTAGAGATGGAAATTTGCCAGAGTCAGATCTTACGCTGTTTTTCTCCACCTTTACTTTAAATGTTTTAAAGATAATTATTCAACAGATATTTGAAGGCTTACTCTGTTAACATGTATTGTTTTAGATACTGTGGGTAGTTTGTAAACAAGACAAACCAAATCCTTTCCCACGGGTGCTTATATTCAAGTTGAGGAATAGAAAATAAATGAATAAGCAAATATATATTTCATGTAGTGATACAGGCTAAAAACAAAACAATGAATTTAAGCAGGTGAATACTGGGCAGCCTAGTCAGAAAGTTTTAACCCTAAAGATCTGAACTTCAGTGACATTTGGAACTAGATCTTACTAATTTAAAGGAGCAAGAAAATGATCTGGAGAAAGACTTTCCCAATAAAGATAATGCCACATTAAGGGTCTAGGTCGGAAAAGAGAGTGGCAAGTTTGGAGAAAAACAACGTAGCCACTAGGGCAAGAAAGGAGTAATAAAAGGAAGATGAGAAAGGTAGCCAATGAGGGTCAGGGAAGCAGGGGCCAGATCACTTAGGGCTTGATGGTCCAAGGAACAGATTTTGTTCTAAGCTTGACAAAACCACTGACAAGATTTATACAGGAAATTAAAGGTATCTGACTTGTTTCCAAAAAATAACTGATAATCAACACAAGATAATAAGAAGCAGGAAGAATGGGAAGCTACTACAGTTAAGCAGTAACTTGGATTAGGGAAATAATGAAGTAGTCAGATTGGGAGTATACTTTAAAAATACAGCTCACAAAATGAATGTGTTGAATGAGATATTGAGAAGAAATTTCCACATATTAAACCAGTGATTAATATTTTTAATTTTAACTGTAGAGACCCAACTTGTTAGATTTTAGCCTACCAAATTGAATCTTTTAAAAAGATTGATTTGGGGCCCTCTCTGGTGGCGCAGTGGGTTAAAGCACTGCAATATGAAGCTCTCACAAGCCACTGCCACACGAGTTTGATCCCCTGCCAGGGAGCTGACCCACATGGTATGGTGGACCTCTCGACCCACCTGCTGCTCCCCTCAGCAGAGCACTTTGTCAGTCTGCCTGTTCTGCTCCCCACTCTGTCTCTGGTGAATCCTTTCACCCACCACACCTCTGAGGTACTGAACTGTACCCCAGTTCAGTAAGCTTAAATAAATTTAAAATAAAAAGATTTATTTATATAGCATACAGGAACTGGGGTACAGATCAGAGATGTGGGGGGTGAGAGGATTCACCAGAAATACAGTAGGGAATAGAATAGGCAAATTGACTAAAGTACACTGGTGAGGGGAGCAGCAGGCAAGACCAGAGACGTCTGCTGGGCCACATGGGTCACCTCCCTGGCCAGGGATAAAACTCAGGTTGCAGTAGCCACCGATAGCTTCATAGTGCTGTGCTTTACCCTTGTGCCACCAGGGAGGCCCCTCAAATTGAATCTTTTAATGAAATACTATACTTCCTTTATTATATCTACTGGGTTAAATTGTCACCTGTAAATTCAAGGCCAAAATACCCTTGTGAATCCTGAAGAAAACATGAAGGAACCCAATAAACCATTGCAATTTAATCTTTTTAACAGAAAAGATAGAAAAGTAACTTCCCAAAACAATCACCTGGATATTACATGTTGATGCAGGAAATGTTGAACAGGTTTTGTACTAGGAAAACAGTTCTTAGTAAGATGCTCTAAAAAGTTTGGAGTACCAGTAGGCAAGGCAGAAAGGAAAACAGGTATATTCTTAATGTTAAGAAAAAAAAAATAGCAAGCTGTCTCAGACTTTTACATTCTCATTTTAATTTCATTTAAACTTGATGCAACAGGTAATTATAAAGGGTTTAAATTTCTTCATTTGAGAATTAAAAACAGCAAATTTAGAATACAGTATTTTGGGCTGCAGTCACAGTTCCAACTGTATTGGCTGATATTTTATCTCTTAAATTGTGTTGTGTTGACCAAAGTAGATTATGTAATTCTTGACACTCATAATCTGACATATTTCATAATTAAAAAGTATTTTAGAAAAAAATACATCAGTATTTTATGTTCGGGGTAGTAATGTGAATTTCTTCCATTCTTGACCCTGATAATAAGTGGTAGTTACAGAAATAACCAATAGCTCTGAAGTTCTATATAATTTTATGTTTAGCAAGTAACCAAACTTTCATTCTGTCCTTGTACTATAACTGCTTAATTATGTTGATAATTTATGTTGACAAAACTATTCTCCTCAAATACAAGAACCATAGTAAAGAAATTACATTGACGCTCTAGAATGAACTCTCTTTAAAATACCGAGCCTTTCTGATAGTGCAAGGGATTACATTTCAGCACTATGAAGCTACCAGCAGCCACTGCAGCATGAGTTGTATCCCATGCAGAATACCTCTCATCTCTCACCCGCTGCCCCCCTCAGCAGTATATTTCAGTTTTTCTGCTGTGTTTCCCACTCTGTCTCTGGTGAATCCTCTCACCTCCCACACCTCTGGCCTACACCCTAGCTCTTGAATGCATAAATAAATCTTTTAAAAATATGATCATATTATGTATATAAATTTTTGTACTTCTGAATTACGTACTTACAAATTTCTGACACTTTTCTGTAAAACTTACAGATTTTCCAAAAATAATTGGACCACATTGTCAAGCATAAGCACTGCAATATTTCTTCATGTTATAAATTTTCTATGTAGGAACAGAGAAACCAGGTGATTATTGGTTATCACCTAGGAAAATGAGAGCAGCTACCATCTGAACATCTGATACAGTTATCCTACGTTGAAACATGTGTCCCTCCTATGAACTATGAAGCCATACTCCATGACACTTAATAATCAAAGGGAGTAATCAAAGCAACAAGAGATACATATCTTCCTTACCTCGCAAAACACACATGGACCCCATATTTGAAAAATAAGATCATCTTGAGTGTTGCTATGCCTCAAAAGTTTAAAAAAATTTTATATGATCAAACAATTCCACTTCTGGGTATTTCCAAATAGGGATTTGAAAAAAATATTTGTACACACAAGTTCATATCAGCATAATTCATAGTAGTTAAAATGTAGAAGCAACCAGTGTCTATTAACAGATCTGAAGGATAAACAGTATATGGTATACACAAAGTCATATTCAACTTTAAAAGAAAGGAGAATCTGCAGTGTGCTATAATATTAGATGAACACTGAAGACATCTATGGTAAGTGAAATAAGCCAGTCCCTCAGGAACAAATACTTTGTTGTTCTCTAAGATACCAAGGTTAGTTATACTAGTCAAAACAAAGATTAGTAGTTTGCCAGAGGGTGAGGAAAGAGAAATTGAGAGTATTTAATGGATTCAAAGATTCACCTGAGGAAGGAGAAAAACATGAAGGTAGTGATGGTTGCACAACATGAATGTACTTAATGTTATTGAAAGGTGTATACCGAAAAATGGCTACAATGCTTAGTATTCTTACAAATTTTACTACATTAAATTTGCAAATCATAATGGGTTAGCAAGTAAAATAAAAGCAAAATATCTTCCAAACATGAAGCCTGATTAACAGTATTACCATTAATGAAAGAATATTCCACATCCAAGTTGATATTTACGAGCAAAGAAATTTAAAAAGAGAACTGCAAAATTATTTTAGCACAATCCAACCCATTAAGAGTACAAGAAAGATACAGATTTGGTAACTAGCCTACCTCCATTGTATTTCTCTTAATACATCAGTATAATTTTTGCATAGCAGTTCCTTAGCAATTTGTGTGACTCGGCACCTAGGAGTCCAGTCATTTCCAGTTCTGACAAACCAATTTCAAGCCTATAAAGACATAGAAGTTGAGACCCATTAATCACTGTAAGGTCTTACCAGACTGTAGGTGCATCTGTGGCAAGCAATTTGCCTTCTTCAAGCAACTTCCCTCTCGATGCTCAACCCTCTCTCAATTTCCAAAATGCTGTATTGTAATTGACTTTTTAAAAAGACTTTCTTCCTTGAGGACAGTCCTATTATTCTTAATAGTTTTTAGCTCAAAGGAACGAAATCAGTAAATAAATGCTAAATGAAAATAAAATTATATTTAGAGAAGCATAACTAGAGAATGAGTATTCTGAAAATTCTGTATATAATTTTCCTCTATAATTTGCAAAGGGAAAGTCAGGCAATAACAGACAAAAAATAAGCATATTTACATTCAGTTAAAACATCTAATCAACGTTTAGTTACAGTAGGCCACATTTTGTTGAGAAAGCCCATGAGTGGCACCCTAACACTATCACACTATCAGGACTTCTCTTGAAGCCCAACAGAGAAGAAAGTTTTGGGGGGTAAATCTATTCAAACAAACCAATAAAACTGGGGGTGGGGGGGTGGGGTGAAAAGGGAGGCTAAAGGAAGTGCAAGGAGTACTATAATGACGTTTGCCTACATAGGAAACAAAGATCACATAATGCAATATGAAAATAATATACTACTTTTTAAGGTATGATGTTATTTACCACTGCCTCTTTTTAACAAGAAACCCACTCAGCACCACCCCTTTCATTCCATGTGAAGAAGTGTGAGTAAAATTTTAGATTGACCTTAAGTGGTTCAGTTATCTCGCGAAACACTTCAAGATCATGGGGAGGTCTTTAGTTTCTACTCTTGTGAAAATATTAGATCTCTCTGACCCTAACCTTTTGATTTGCAGATAGTTCTTCGGAAATGGAATGACAAATAATCTATCCCTTCCTTTTCTTAGTATTGTCCAAAGACCAGCCAAAGGCAGAAAAAATCCTTTTCTGTAGCGTGCTGTTTAGAATGCTGTGTAATAAGACGTGTTCAGTCACTAGCAGTGCCATGTAGAGCGTCTTGGGCTTTTGTAGTTACTGTGCGATTCACCCCCTAGGGCAGTAACAATGGTCGCAGGCAACTGGACGCTGGCGCCGCGCTGATGACATCATTTCTGAGCGCCAATTTCGTACTTGGTAGTCTTTGTTTATTGTATTTTTTTCTGCTCCAGGAGTAATCCTGATAGGGCAGTAACAGCAGGCGTGGGCTAGGGGAAGGGGGTGGGGGGGAGAGAGGGCAATACCGTACTGATGACATCACTTCCGAACTCCAGTTTCACATTTTCTTGTACCCAAGAAAGGGCAGTCGACTGTCTTTGCAAGGGAAAGGTGAGGCATGTTAGCAAATTTTGTTCACTAGGAAGGTGGGTGAAATTGCTCACCCCTGCTCCCATTGCAGCTTTTGCACGTGTGGAGAAGCTGTTGCAATTCACTCCCTGCGCCTAGGACAGACCAGTGCTCACGCTGGGTTCACTTAAGAATGAAAACTGCTTCGCACAAGGTGACTTACCCTGGTTTTTGTGGCTCCAAGTGTAGTTTCACTAAACCGGGGTGTGTCTTCCAGGGTTGCTATTGCTAACAGATCCCTTATCTTTAATTTCTGGGTACCCGTAACTCAGGTGGATAATAAAACGTCCTATATGTATTGCCTTCTTTCCACGTTTAGACTGTTAGTGTGGTACGGGAAAAGGACCTAAACCTTTAGATCGTTCCAGGGAACAGGAGGTATGAAAGACTTGGCAATGTGAAAATGCTACGATGTTTTGTGATGGACTACTATTGTTTTGGGGGGGCAAAATGTTTGGGAAGATCTTTGTTATGATCAACCTGTGACCAAAATGGACAGACTTCATTCAGCAGATTCTAATTAATGGATAAAATACATACTCGGTTGCAGTCTATTTAGGCGTGGCGTGGTCAGATGAGCTTCATCACAACTGAACTAGAGGACTAAATCTTGTGTTTCATATGTACGCTTGTTTTGGACACAAGATTAAATTTTATTTTGAAAGATGTTCCCAGTAACTAATCTATTCCATTTTATTTTTACCAAGTTTTTAAAACCACTTTTTAAAGGTACATTTTGTCTAATATTTATTTAATGTCTGATAAACTACAGACAGTATCCATACAACTGCAAAAACTGTAGATGTTTGTAAAGAAGAATGAATGTGTAAGGACAAAGTGAAAATAAATAGTATAATATTGTATATATAACTCCCTTTTACCCTCTCTTTCAGAGTATTATTTTTTAAAATTCATACTGTTATTTCTATTACCAGGTTGCTAATTTTTACAGACTTTACTATAATCTTATGAAACTATTGAAAAAATAAACCAAGCTTTCCGAACTTTGCTTAACTGAATGCATGAGTGGTTAATATCTGTTTTAAGTAATGCATTTGTTTCTATTATTCATTTTTAGGAATTACCTATTGAATCAATATGCTAATATTGAATAAGACAGTAGGACTTTTTCCTAAAACCTCAAAAAGAAACATTTATGAATTTTTAAGAAGTTTTCATTTTCATCCTGGAAAACAATTTCTTCATAAACTAGTATTGGGAATTGAAACCAGTTGTGATGATACAGCAGCTGCTGTTGTGGATGAAACTGGAAATGTATTGGGAGAAGCAATACATTCCCAAACAGAAGTTCACTTAAAGTAAGTAAACAGACATTGTCTTAGAAGTTTACACTTCTTTTTAAAAATCAAAGTGATAGAATTCATTTGTATTTGTCATGTAAAAATTAAATTTTAGGGACTAATTTACTTTATGCCAAAGCTTCTACAAACTACTACAGAAAACATTAAACCCCTCACCCTGACTTTTAAGGCACTCCATAGTAAGGTCCCAGCTTTAGCCAATCCTGTTGCCAAAAGAAACCAAATTCATATTTTTCTGTGATTTTTACTTCAAATAATGTGCATTTTGTGGTTTTAACTGAAGCTCTAGGAGTGTGAAGCCCTCTCTCTAGCCTAAAGTTATATTTATGTTCATATACATAACTTGTGTTGGTACCTAGACAAGCGATACACTGTCCTATTAAAGCATAAAATGGTGTATGTACCATTTATTTTTTTAAAAAGATTTATTTATGCATACAGAACTGGGGAACAGGCCAGAAGTGCAGGGGCGGTGAGAGGCTTCACCAGAGACAGAGTGGGGAAAACAGGCAGGTGTACTGAAATACACTTCTGAATGGAGCAGCAGGTGAGACAGGAAAGGTCTGCCACACCATGCTGGTCATCTCCGTGGCCTGGGATTGAACTCACAGTGAAGGGCCAGAGGTGTAGGGGGTGATGAGAGGATTCACCAGAGACAGTGGGGAACAGAACAGGCAAGTTGACTGAAGTACACTGCTGAGGGGAGCAGCAGGAGAGACCAAAGAGGTCTGCTGGGCCATGTAGGTCACCTCCCTGGCCAGGGATCTAACTCAGGCTGCAGTGGCCACTGATAGCTTCACAGTGCTGTATTTCAACCCCTTGTGCCACCAGGGAAGGCCCTGTACCATTTATTAAATCAGATGTTTGTAGAGGATCACCAGGCAGGTTACATAAATGAGTTGGCTGTATTTAAAGTGGAAAATATCTGGATGAGGTCACTACTGAGCTCCAAACTAATTGAGATAGCTGCAGATAATTAAGCCATATGTTATTAGGTATCAGAATTTTCAAAAGAAAATGGAAATACAAAATTTTATTGTAATACCTCCAGACTTTTTAAGTTGGCAGCTAACTCAAAATATATTTAAATATTCTACAGATTAAAGATTCCTTCCAGCCATAAATTTACATCTGAATAGTGAAAAAGCCTGGTATTTTTGGAATCAAAAACTATTTGAATCACAAATTAGGCAGTTAGCACCAGCTCTGACTTTAGACAAGTTTCTTATCTTCTCTGATCCAGTTTCATGTTGGTAAAATGGAAAGGATACCATGCCTTATAGAGTGATGGGGACTATTAGAAATAAAATAAGACAAGAAACCAAATACCCCTCTAATGTAACATACTACGTGAAAGGGACTATGGTAAGTGTTAATAAGGCATGGTAAAGTACTCAAATATATGTTCTTGTCTTTAAGAAACTTGACCTAATCACTGAAACATGATTTAGAGACCTACAAGGAAAGTTTGCAGTGCAAGGCAGCACAAAATGTGTTATCAAACAAGTAGTACAACCAATAACTACTACCATGTCTATGTTCTGCAGTCCTTTCTGTTTGCTTGCGTGCACTGACATTTGAACATGTAGATATTAAAGGCCTACCCTAACCATTTTCATCTAAATATTTTCATAGAAATACTATTTTTTTCTATACCACATCTGGTATATTTTCCTTATAAGCCTTTTCATAACTTACACGTTTATGTATAACCTTTCCTCCAATAGATTCTAAGATCTATGGTGATAGTGGCTATGTTGCTATTAATTTTTGAACCCAGCACAGCATCTAATATAATATGTTGCAGTTACACTGCAAACTTGAGAGATGGTTAAGCCCTCAAAGAATGGAGATGGAAAGAATATTGTCTCCTGATTGAGCTGTCATGAGCAAAGAGAAAAGAGGAAAAAGTACTAGACAAAATTTAGATTAGCTAATAAGCATAGGTCAGTTGAGCAGATCAGAGACTATCTAGGGAGGTGCAGCTAGTAGCCCTTGACTAGACTGAGATATTGAGGGCTTTTGAATTTGGTGGTGGCAGTAGGATAAATGATAAGCTTAATTCTGAAAAGGAGATAAAGGTGACAATGATAAATCTGAAAGCCCCAAGTGTTTAAGAGTTATTGGCACTATTAACAGAGATGAGAAATATGAGAATAGGTAGCATAGAAGATTAAGTATAATGGTATTATAATATGGATGTGTTGGAATGAGTTTTTTCATATCTCCCTCATTGCCTGTATGGCATTTAACTATGAAATAGATATTCATTGACTTCACCTTCTAAAAATTTTCATTTCCTATATATAAAACTGATCTAGCAATATCAGATGTTTAAAGATTTTGCTGGGGAAGAGGGAATAGAAGTGAATTTTTCAGACCCTATTGTTCTGCTTCTATAGCATATCAATCATATTCTGACAAATTTGCTAATTTTTACTCTTGGCATTTGGAATGATCATCCACTGCTTGTCCTTTGTAGAACAAAAATCAAAATTACCAACTCTGAGTACTATATTCTCAACCTTTACTTCAGGGTTGTAAGCTGTTCACTGTCCTGCCACGACCTCAAGTGCAGTGTGTTTAAAAATAAACTCATCTTCTACAAAACTGTTTCATGTTTCTGTTAGTATTTCTTTTCCCCTAGTCATTCTAAATAAGTATCTGAATCATCTTTGATAACCTGGTCTCCCTTCCCTTTATGTCCAATTAGTAACTACAGGAGCTCTCAAGACTATCCCTTTTTCTCTGTTCCCATGATCAAACACAGTTTATAGTGTAGTCCCATTGCACAAATACTTATACAGTAATCTCTTTATCAAAATTTCCTATCAACAGAGAAATTAATTATCCTGAAATCCAATTTTATCCTCTCTTTTGTTTAAAATTGCTTCCTTAGAATTCATCTCAAGATTATTTTGGTGATTTTATTCATCTACAACAAATCCATTGGATTTTGTTGAGCACAATTTTGAAATCTCAGACACTACACCCTTAATCACTGCATTCTGTTCTTTTAATGTGTTATGTTATAAGGTATACGTATTTGAAAATAATTGCTCACTAACATTTTTAGCTACATAGTGATTAATTTGAAAGTGTGTCTTTAAGTCACAGATATGATTAATTTGAAAGTGTGTCTTTAAGTCACAGATATGAGTTTTTTCCCACAGTTTTTACAATCTTAACTCATAAAAAGCTTTCTTTCTTTCAGAACAGGTGGAATTGTTCCTCCAGTGGCTCAACAGCTTCACAGAGAAAATATTCAGCGAATAGTGCAAGAAGCTCTCTCTGCCAGTAAAATCTGTCCAAGTGAACTCTCAGCAATTGCAACTACCATAAAACCAGGACTTGCTTTAAGCTTGGGAGTGGGCTTATCATTTAGCTTACAGTTGGTAGACCAGTTGAAAAAGCCCTTTATTCCCATCCATCACATGGAAGCTCATGCCCTTACTATTAGGTTGACCAATAAAGTAGAATTTCCCTTTTTAGTTCTTTTGATTTCTGGAGGTCATTGTCTATTGGCGTTAGTTAAAGGAGTTTCAGATTTTCTGCTTCTTGGAAAGTCTTTGGACATAGCACCAGGTGACATGCTTGACAAGGTAATTATTCAAGAATTAGTCTCTACATTCTAATTAAGGTATGCTTCATGAAGTAGTAATAGATACACAACTACCTTTCATTTAAAGAATTTATGTTCATTTATGTTCACTAAGTAAAAAAGATTCCATTTTAGTCATTCCAAATAAAACAGGAAGAGGTTTTCATTAGTATATAAAAGCTCAAATAATTGTAGATGCAGTTATATGTTTAGTCAAATTAATGGATGTAAATGTGCTTTGTAAAGTGTAAAGAACTGTAAAATGTGAAATAGAGTTATAAAGATTAACATAAGGACATAAAAGTCACAAAATACTATGATTAAACCTCACAATTGCTAACTGCATTGAAAGGGGATTGTTTTCTGTTTTAGAATCCTGCAGCTCTTACTGCCATGTATAAACATTGCTGTCGACATCTGAAGTGATTGGAATGATTCTTGTCCAAGTTCATGATTCAGTAGTCATTATTAACTGCAAACCTATTTTCCACCCCCAGTAGAAGATTAGAAGTAGATAGGAAGGCAGTAATTAGGCACTATTGACCAGGTTGTCAGAATAAGATGTCTATATTTAATGACTACCAGGTATAGTCCACTTTTGTAAAAAGTATAACATGTTTTAGTCATTCAGGATTTTTTTAACCTTTTATTATTTTAGTAAATTATTTTTACATCTAGGTTTCAAACTGCAATTTTATGATTCATTAAAAAAAATTTTGTTTTTAATAGGTAGCAAGAAGACTTTCTTTAATAAAACATCCAGAGTGCTCCGCCATGAGTGGTGGGAAGGCCATAGAACATTTGGCTAAACAAGGAAATAAATTGCACTTTGATCTCAAACCTCCTATGCAACGTGCTAAAAACTGTGATTTTTCTTTTACTGGACTTCAACATGTTATTGATAAGATAATAACACAAAAGGAAAAAGAGGAAGGTATATTTCTAATTAGTACAGTTGGATAAGTAAGTAAATTTGGATTTTTGCCTAATACTACCTGGTCGCTTCTACAGGTATTGAGAAAGGAGATGTCCTGTCTTCAGCTGCAGACATTGCTGCTGCAGTCCAGCACACAACAGCATGTCACATTGCCAAAAGAACACATCGTGCTATTCTGTTTTGCAAGCAGAGAGGCTTGTTATCTCAGAGTAATGCAGTAGTGGTAAGTTTTGTCATCCCAGAGTAGTGGCTAACACTTTATGTTAGAGCGGAATTGATTGAGTATAGGATGAAAATATTTTGATGCTGTATGCTAGCCCTGACAGTATGAAATTATGCAGAATGAAAACTAACAGCTATTTCTTGTACAGGTATGGCAACTTTATGGGACATCAGTACAGCAGCCTATGCAGCAACAAAGACCTAACGCTGCATCTTCTCACTGAATTTTAAAGCAGGCTTACAATAAGAAATGAAATATATTTACTTCCAACATTTTTTAGATAATAGGCTGATTTCCTTCCTTAGATGAAATCCTTTTAAAATATGCTTCCTTGAAAATGTTCCTGTTTATCAGTACAGTACCTTAAACTTCATTCTTTTCAAAAGTATAAAATAAGAAAATAATTAAACCATGGGAGGCCACAAGGTGGAATGTTACATGAATATTAAAGGTCATGGTTTTTAAGAATTATTTAGTACAATGAAAAATTGTAATTTAAAACTTCAGGGTCTGAAATGTTATAATTAGAAAAAGGTTAGATGATGATGTATAAAAATCTAGTGACTGTATGTTAACAGTTTGGAATTGTTCATTTTTTTCTTCAAATTGTTATGAGCTTGCACGCTCGTTCATTCTCTCTCTCTCTCCCTCTTTTACTCTCTATCTATCCATATATATATTCCTTTCCGTTACCCATCTATCAAAATATAATACTTTATTATTGTAAAATGCTGATATTTCACCTGGGATTAGTTAACAGCTTGGCTCAGATCCATATATAATAATGATTTTGGTCTTCCCAATGTTTTCAGGTTGTATCAGGAGGTGTTGCAAGTAACTTATATATTCGAAAAGTTCTGGAAATTGTAACAAATGCAACACAGTGCACTTTGTTATGTCCTCCTCCCAGACTGTGCACAGACAATGGTATTATGATTGCATGGTAAGCTGTGGATTCTATGTGCTTTACTTAATATTTAATTAATATTTACCTAAGTAAATATTAATTGCCATTTCATATTAAATCTTTCTTTAAGGTCAGCTATTTAGTTTATTTTAATGATTTTTTTTTTTAAGGAATGGTGTTGAAAGATTGCGTGCTGGCCTGGGCATTTTACATGACACAGAGGGCATTCGCTATGAACCAAAGTACGTGGTACTGTTTATGATCTTCATGCAGAATGCATTATAAAATTCAGACGTGGAGCTTGCTTTTGTATATGAGGTTTTCATTCACTTTCTGGTGATACTTGTAAAAAGTTAACATTAATTCCATTCCTGAATTTAAAAGGTAGGTACCATATAAGAAATATTTTTCCTGCAGTGTCAAATTATAAACTTTGTCAAATCTTAGATTAGAAACAGACACTGGGTAAGCATGAGAAGTTCCCTCTTTTGGAACCAAAATGATCCAAGTCTATGACCTGGACCTTTGCAATGTCCACATCATCTATGCAAAAAGCATTCTGGTATGAGATTTTCTCAGTACTTCTCCTAAGATAGCTCTTTTTTGTTTCAAGCCTTATTTCTTCTCTCAAACTGTATTCTCAGGTCTAGCAGTTTTTCAGCTTAGCATCAAGTTTTGGTCTAAATTAATTCTGCAGGAGCAGTAGTAGTACAGGACTTTTATGTTTTATAATCTAGCAATTCTATTTTGTATATCATTACATCTGATATTTTAAAAATTTCTAAGCTTTATAATCCGTAACTCTTCAGTCCATGAGCTGCAGTCTATTAAGACTAATCCTAAATTAACTGAGTTCAGTAAGTAGTGGCAGAAGGAATCCCTATGTGGATGCCTAGTCTTGGGTATAATATTCTAATTCCAGTGGTGCTTCCTTCTGGCAGTGTTGAGGCTAGAGAATAGTTGTTTTTTCTTTTAGGTTATGGTCCTTTCTTTTTAGGTTGAAGCCTTGTCTTGGGCAATAGTGTTTAAAAAAAAAAAAGGCAGAAATCCTATCCTGAAATTATTTGGTGAAAAAGAAGAGGAAAAAAGGTAGAATTTAAGATTTCTCCTGTGAGCAGTAGTAAAAAACAAGAAAGCTGACTTTTGAAATCTCAGAATAACTGACAGAACATGGATACAGGTTTGACTGATTTAGTGGAAAAATGTCTTTACCTTTGTAAAGAATTATAAGGAATCTTTTGTTATTTTTCTATTACATACAAAATTTTAATTTTAAATATACAGTATTTGAGAGGAATAGAACTAGTTCTTTAAAAGTCATCTCAGGGCTCTCCTTGGTAGTGCAACAGGTTAAGTCACCACACTCTGAAGAAGCTCTTAGATGCCACTGCAGCAAGAGTTTGATTCCCAGTCAGGGAGTTGACCCACATGGCACAGCAGACCTCTCCTGACCTCTCAACTGCTCCCCTCAGCAGTGTATTTCAGTAGATCTCCCTGTTCTATTCTCTACTCTGTCTCTGGTGAATCCTCTTACCCACCACACCTCTGGCCTATAGCCCAGTTCTGTAAGCATAAATAAATAAATCTTTTTTAAAAAAAAAGTCATCTCAGTCTCCAACTCAGGGAATTGTATATACTAACTATGGATAGCCTTTTGAGTCAGTTAAACCTAAAAATGGTTTTAAAACCTAAGTTTAAGTCTCTTTTTATAAAACTGGCCATCTTTTACCCAATATTCTGGTTTGAGGTCCCAGTGTGTATGTATTAAAATATCATAACCACATATGGTAAATTAAGCATTATGTATTTATGTGTATGTGTGTATAATTTGTCAGAATTTTTAGCAGATTATCTGAAAAATTAGTGATGAATCATTTGAATAATGTGATTCCTCTGACTTTGTTGCAGATGTCCTCTTGGAGTGGATATATCAAAAGAAGTTGGAGAAGCTGCAATCAAAGTCCCACAGTTAAAAATGAAGATTTGATTTTTGTTTTTTTAAAGGTAGTATTTCAACATTGATTTTTTTTAAATTTTCTGTATATCATATTGTAGGAGGATTATTTTATTATTCATGAAAATTTTCTTGTGTCTGCTCCTCTGAGAGATTAAAAAACTAGGATAGTCTTATAAGACAGTATTGGTTTTTCATTATCAAAAATCAAACTAAAATACTTTGTAGAGAAAGAATGTAATGTTATTGGTTGGTGGAAAGGAAAATCTTGAAAGATTCTGCTAAGATTTTTGCTTCATATTATACAGGCCTAGATCCTCTTCCCTGTCTTATATCAGGATCAGGATAGAGAAGCTATTTTTTGGTTCCTTGTGACACATTAGCTTATCTTTTCTGATAAGAATGATTTTAGAAATGTAGCAAATGAAGTCATGTCAAATCAGAATTATAGGTCAAGACAAAAGCTGACTTTCTCTAACAGTATGTATGTTATCCATTTGAGAGTTTAAGAAGCATGACATACAAGTAATACCTCAAATGTGTATTATACTTTTAACTGACCACATACAGGTCATATCCTTTAATCTAGAACTTGTATTTAGTTGATGAAAATAAGTTTAATGTTTTTTTTTTTTTTTGAGGGTTTCCTTTGAATCTAAGTCTTTGTATAGTAACAGTTTACCACTTTTTCTCCTGCCTAAAGTAAATTTACTGTCTTTTGGTCACAAGATAATACAATTGCTTAATGTCCTGTGAGAGATTTTTACCAGTAGAGATATTACACCAAATTATTACTGGTTTATTCAGTGACTTACTTTATTGTGAAACTAGGAAGGGTAAAATTCTAGAATAAAGAGATTTCTTATTTTAATTCTGCCGTAGGTTACCTACACCCTATGGAAAAATTTATTTTTTAGAATTGTGATCATAAAGTATTGCTTTAAGAGCACTCACTTTAGAAATAGAAAACATATATGAGGGAACAAATAGCCAGTGTTTATAGAACTTTGCATTTTTTTATAATTTGAGGCATAGGTATGATAGAATTGTTTATACATATTATTTGTTTTTGCTTTAATTTTTTTATTTTTACTATAAATATTTATATTATTTGCTTGTAAATATCATTAAAAGAAACAGTTTGTAAGCTGACATTTTAGATTTGTATTTGCAGTCTCTATCTTGTGAATCTGAATTCACAGAGAAGTCTAATTATTTTCTGTGACTGTGATAACCAGAGTGCATATAAGCTATGTTAGAAAACTGACCAATATTTAGTCACACTATCATAATCATTATAAAGTAGGGATATTTATACTCTAAGTTTTTAAATTTCAAATATCAGAACTGCTTCAGATATTACAAGCACGCATGTCAGCACTGAATTTATGATATAAATAAAGAAAACTACAGATAAAGAACATGAGCAAATTCGGCAAGCATTCCATATACTTTGCTATAAGAATAGGATAGGAAGGAAGAAAGGAGGAAAAAGAAGGAAGGCCAGTATGTGGGCCTAACTTAGCTTACAAGTCATGTAAGAGTAGGCAAATTACTGAAACCCTCTATGTCTTGGCCATTTTTCATCTTACATATAGCTTTCTAAAATAAAAAAGCAATGAAGGTTAATGAAAATATCTTTCATTGGGGTTATTATATTTCCATGTAATTCTGTTTTAGGAGTGGTAAGATGGTCTGGCTAGGCCAAGATACTCAGGAAATGTCTTTTATTGAATGCAAAGAAACCTTGGTAATACTCTTTAAATATCTAATGCCAGTTTCAGGGCTCAAAGTTTTCTGTCTGAAGCCTTCTTTTATTTTAACATTTACAAAGGCTTAATATTTCCATTGATTTATTTATCCTTAATGGTGGCTAAATGACACAGTTTCTTATTTAAATTGCCATTCCTTCCTAGTTAAAATATGCCATGTCCCCACCTCAAATCCTGTATTTTAGTTCATCTCACAGAAAGTTGTAACGCAGAACAATTAAGATAATTTAGAATTTAATCTGAAGATTTAATAAGTCTCTTATTGCACAGAGGCTAAGAGCACAGACTTTGGACTCAATATATTTCTAAGCTACAGAGAAGAGTATCACACAAGTTTCAAACCAAGTATATTCTATAGAGAATTTAAAAGTATACACTTCACATTTTAGAAACCTCATACATTTGTATTATTTATCATTAACTAATTCAAGGTATGAAAAGAGTTTTAAAATGTAGGCCATGTTGGCTCCTCTGAGTCAGGCCTTTTTAATCTAGATTGCCTATTATTTTTTTCCTTTTGTGTAGAAGAACTGAAGAATAGGTCAGAGATCAGGGGAAGTGAAAGGATTCACCAGAGACATAATGGGGAGCAGAGCAGACAGATTTCCTAAAATACACTCGGAGGGAGCAACAAGCAAGACGAGAGAGGTCTACTGTGCCATGTGGATTTGCTTCTTGGCCTGAATCAAACACAGGCTACTGTGGTGGCTGAGACTTAACCCCTATGCTACCAGGGAGGCCCCAGTTGGTATATTTTAATAAGGTTAGATGCAGACATTCTATTATAAGAAATTCTACATATATTTTGAAATCATAACCCAGTTCCTAGTAGACATACTAAGGAAAAACTACAGATAAAATCTGGAGATAGGTAGAGGACAGAGTCTAAACAGGAGAAAGCCTCAGTCTTTAGCTATGGGCGTCATTGTTGACTTTGGTAACACATTTCGCAGCGTGGAAGCAAAAGGCTTAAAGGCAGGGGCATGTTAAGTATCAATATCAAGAATTTTCATGTGGAAATATTACTCAGCTATGTTATGGGTATTTTACCACAATTAAAAATAATAAAAAAAAATTCATCAGGAATCATTTCCTCTTAAAATGCTTTTATTGGCCCTCTCCTGGCTCCAAGTTAGCTTTCTGTATGTTTTTTCCAAGTTGACTCAAAAACACTATTCTTGGTCTTGATACATTTATGATATCTGATGAAATTGCAGATGAAAAGGAAAAAACATTTTGAGAAACATTGGTTTTACTTGTTGTATTGAAGAGTCCCATGAAGTTAGTTACAGGAGGCAGTAAAGTCAAAGAATCTCTTGGTTGAATTTTAGGCTTTAATTTTCTTCGATGCTCTTTCCCTAAAAATTATAGAGCCACAATTAAATCGCTCTTCCTTAAGTCCAACAGTCCTAGGTACAACCTACTAGTTCTATATATTTCTGCTTTCTTCACATCATTATAGCAAACTAGGAAAACAGATCAGTAGCTTCCAGACTTTTGGATATAAAAGATCAAACATTTGTGTAGGCCAAAATATGGTTGCCAACATCATTCATTTTGCCAAGTTGGCATTAATGAAAGGACAAATGCCAACTACTTCAAACATTATTTTGTAAAAGAAGGGGTATTTTAACACCGAAGAGAATGTAAAAGGCATTATCTTAAATGGCAAACTCATATTGAAGAAATTAACTTTACTAAAGTCTTGCTGCATTGTTGTTGCTATTTTCTTGAGTTATCAGAAATCTGTGAAAACTCATCAGACCATTGTAGATAGACAGATAGTGTATAGAAACTAACATTAAAATGAAGAATGGGGCTGACTTTATCTTTGAATAAGTTACTGACATTAAACTCTACAAAGTCTTCTACCTCTGATATTCAGAAATATAGCCTCCCACATGTTCTCTACATAAGTGAAGCTCTATCTCCTTTTTCTCCTCTTTCTATTTGTGACTTTGGCAAACTGATCTTTACTGTGAATGGTTCTTTTCTTGTTTTTGACTATGTAGGACTTATCAAGTAAGGCTCATTTTGTTAAGTATATATGAACATGTAATAATCATACATATGAAATCTGTTAAGTATTTGCCCTATTTCATATCTAGCAAGAGTTATATAAAATTATATGATCTGGACTCTGATCTTGTAGGCCTAAGCCACTCATCATCATATACCAGAGTATCAACAGAAAAAAATGTGGTTCTTGCTCTAAGAATATATAATATAGACAACATAATATATACATAAAATTGAACAGTAAAGAGCAAGATCATAATTTAAGTCATACTTACACGTTTAAATAATGACATCTTTTGGCTGGATTGTGAGAAAAGGCAAAACGAAGGATTTTTTTTTTCTATCAAATGCTAATTTGCAGGGAAGGACTTAAAAGAAGTGAATAACATGGGCTTGGAAATGGGAAGATGTCTTACAGAATTACAAAAGCCAAAGTTATAAAATTGGTTTTGATAGACTCTAGATTTTGATTTTTAGAAATGGAACAAAAATTTAAAGCATTAGAGCTATAAAGTATCTCAGGAATAAAAGAAAAATCAATTACCTTTTTTAAAGACAGGAATTATGGATGGCCCTCCATTTTGCTCCAGACTAAAAGGAAAACATTTTTATTACAAAAGCTAGAGCTATAAGACAATAGCCACATAACCTATTCAGTGTTGTTTAGTGGTTTGACTTATGCATACTACCTGTAGGTTTCTTATGTTCAGCCACTTATACTCACTTATCACTAAATCAGTTAGGATGTTAAATCTGCCTGAAGAGTTTCAGGAAAGCAGCTTGAAAGAAATGACATTTAAGCTATTTTTTGAAGAAAATAGAGATTCAAATGAACGAGGTGAAGAGAGAGGATATTAAAGACAGAGGGAATAAGATAATGAAAAATTAGAGTCCTATAAAGCAGCGTGCATGTTCAGAAGGCACTAAGTAGTCCAGTACAGTTGGGATTAAAGGTATCTGGAAACATGATGGGATAAAAGTTTGGACAATAAACATCAGGTCATTTTATGTGGTAATTTGAGAAAATATAAACTTCATTTTCAAAGCAATGGGATACTTATAAAGTGTTTTGAGCCAAAAGTAACTAAGTTTAGACCAGTTAATATGGTGTGTTTGTGTGTTGGGGTTGGGCGGGTGAGAGGTGACTTTAAAATACATATTTTAATCATCCTGTACATGTAATATATGAATGTGGTATTACAACATTTCCTTGGTAATAAAATATAAGTCTTGATTAAAGTTGATATATTAAAAAGAGCTGTTACCAGTCTATTCCTGGCTAATTTGATAGAAACATCTGCCGTTAGCGACTTTATTGAAGCACAAAACTCATTTTTATTCACCAGGCCTTTATCTGTTCATTTGCCAGCTTCATGGCCATAGGGTAATGTAAAACTACATAGTATTAGGCTAGGTTTCTTTCATGAAATCTCTTTTACAAATTCACAGATTTACCAGTATTAGTAAATCTGTCTCTCCTTGTATCAAGATCTACACATTGAAGGACTCTTCTAATCTGCCATTCTTGGGGTTGGTTGGGGCATGAAAATAGAGAAGTTGTTGTATATGCATTCCCCAAAATGTCATCTCAGCTACAATCTGTTTCCGGGAGTGGCATAAAGAAATATCCATCCCAGAGGTTCCAAACATGCCTTACTAATCTTTCTGTGCATTTTCTATTGTTTCAGTTAAACCAAGTCCACATGATTCTTTTGAAAATTAAAAGGAATAGTCAATGTAAATGCTTCATAGTATTTAACACTATTTGTTATACAATTAATTGTTATCTGCATACTAGTTCCACCTCTTGGTAACAATTTATAAGCTTACTGATTACTGGTCACTACTTGTAATCCTGAAAGTTGAGTGTTCACAACTCTAAGGGGGCTGTTCACCTCACACTGTAGATTTATAGTTACTATAACTATTATCCCAGCAGATGGAAAAGGGTCATCGTTAGCCAGTTCCCAAAAAGTTTCCATATGGGCTGTGAGTGACTGCAAAGTAATGCTTACATTATTTATCCTAAATTAATTTTGAACCAGTGACTATTTTTTAGCATTTTCAACTATAGCAATTATAATTTAGTTACCTGGCTTGTATTGTAAAATAATGTAATCAATTTTAGGTTTTCAGTTTTTCAAAAAAACCAAGTGTCTATAGATGTTCTCATCTTTACACTTAAAATTGATATATAGTCATAATACACTATTGGATCCTATCCTGTTATTATAGAGCTAGTAATATATCTTGAACAGTTCTGTTTCCTATATATAGACAGCATTATTTGCAGTGACAACTTGTAACTCAGCTGTAACCACAGAAGGGATATTATGTCCACTGTAAGGAGATTCTCCTCTCCTTATTCAGATAAGTTCAAGATGAAACTACAATAGAGAGGTAAAATCTTCTGAATAAATGCCTGACAAACTTGTTATAACTAATCACTCATTGAGTCTGATTTAGCTGTTTGCATCCTGGAAGTTAGGCCTAGCTTTGGATCAAGTCCAAGATACCCTTTTGATGCCAGGCTCATGATGGTGTTACTATTGGCTTAGAACTCTCCTGTAGCCCCGTCTACCCAAAAATGGCATCCTAAATCATACTTGGAGCCTAATAAGCCTCCTAAAAACTTCTGAAATGTGACTATTCCTGCACAGATGGGATCTCCCAAAATCCAGTTATATTCAAGTCTGCAACCACATTTCTGTTGAAAAGTGCAATTTAAACAGGCTTTGGCAACAGACATTGTAAATAAAGTTTATCTTTCGTATACAAGGCATGTATTTATAGCAAGGATAGTTTCCCTTTGTGATCCTCATTAAGCTTTCTAAACAGGCAGCTCTATCAATTTTACCATTGAAACTTCAAATTTAGGTACAATACCTTAAGGAAGGAAGTCCCACTCTTTGCTGCATTTGAAATTCCTTTAAAAATGCAGGGTTAATATTTGCATCTCTGCTGATACTACTTGTTAAACGAAGGAACTGATTAGGCTTATTCCTGCATTCCTTTAAGAGGATGCGGAAGGCATTTGCATTGTAAGTTAAGTAGCCAAGCGCACAGGAGCAAGCTGTACGAACCTAAATGAAGAAGAAACAATTACTCCATAATACTGACCCACCACCAAAACTAACCCAGTGCTCTCATTAGATATTTCATAGGAAGCCTGTATGTATAGCAAATATGTATGTCAACCTGTGGCAACCTATATAGATGGAAGCATTAACAGCCATATTTTTAGAAAGAGCTATCAAAGCCTTTGATTCCAGTAACTGTTAGTACCAGCTGCATTGTAGAATTGTTCCAGGGCAGGGAGAGGGACATCCCTGAACCCTCAAACCTGCCTTCTCTAAATAGGTTCTACCGCATCAAGACAAAACATGTAAGACCTTTAATAGAAAAGAACTTTGTAATACAATCATTGTACAATATAGCAAACATAAAGTATATAGTCTCTAAATCAAGCACTTAAAGTTACCCATCCCCTCGTGGGTAAAAGTCTACCTAAAGGGGATTGGCTCAAAGCAAGGCCTGAAAGCCTGTCACAAGTCTGAAACACCTTTTGGTGGGGACCCAGAGAAAAGGGTCAGAAATGGCCAGATAAGTCTGGGAGGAAAAGAACAAAATCAAAAACAAGATAAACACTGCCATAGTGAACCTCTACAAGGGTTTCTCGCCCACATCTGTTTCAACCATTCCAGGAGCCAAGAAACAAGCTGCTTCTTCACCTGTCTCCCTGTCTATGTGCCTCCCTCAGGTCTCCTGACTCTCCATCCTGCCTTCTTCCTCCTCAATCTCCTCTCCAGATTCTTCTGGAGGGGATTGGCCCTGCTCAGTTCCACCCTCCTTTTAGGTGGGGTAGGGAACCTAAAACCTTCCCTTTTCCTGGGGTCCATCCTGTTACAGAATCACTAAGAGTTTTTTTTAAAAAAAGAAAAGCTCACTGTCAGACTCTTGAACACAGTATCCAGGCATTTGTGTTTTTTTTTTTTTAAAGATTTATTTATTTATTCATATAGAACTGGGGTACAGGCCAGAGATGTGGAGGGTGAGAGGATTCACCAGAGACAGAGTGGGGAGCAGAACAGGCAGATCGATAAGTACTCTGCTGAGGGGAGCAGCGGGCGGGTCAGGAGAGGTCTGCCACGCCATGTGGTCACCTCCGGGGCAGGCGGGAGTCGCAGACGGGAGGCGAACTCATTCAGAAGTGGCTTTAGCTTCTCATTGCAGTGCTTTAAGCCACTGTGCCACCAGGGAGGGCCATTTGTAGTGTTTTTAAAGAGCCAGGTGATGTTATTGAGGAACCAGAGTAAGAGCCACTGACTTTGAACTAAAACAGTGAGTCTCAGTCTTGACTGTGTACTGGAATCACCCAAATGACTAAAAATTATTCATGTCTGGGTTCCACATTGAGAAATTCCAACTGAATTCTTTTAGATTATAACCTCAACATCATAGTCATGACCTTTCAAAACTGCCAGGATGATTGTAATAGGAAACCAGGTAATATAGGTTTGGATTGACCTATACGATAAGATAAATAAAGCAAGTCATTTAGGAGAACAACTCAATTTTCTACTGGCAAAAACAGACAAACAAACAAGTTTCAAGCAAAAAAAAATAAGTATTCTTTCAGTGAATAAAATGCCCCCTGTGACCATGAAGTAATTAGTTTTTGATCATAGGATTTATTAATTAAAATATACTGAGCAGTTTTGGGGAAAATTTGTTGGCATTTAGCATAAGACATCTCATAGAATGAATATAAACCAGACCCTTTGCAAGGTAATCAAGGGGTGTAAATTGGCATTTGCTGGACTTGTCCATATTTCTTCCACACTTTCAACAGTGGTCCTTAGTGTATAGTCTCTGGACTAGCAGCTTCAGTTGCTGGTACTTATTAGAAATCAGATTCCAGGGTCTACTCTAGATGTATTGGATCAAACACTCTGGGAATGGGACCCAGAAATTAATTTATGGTTTAACAGGCCCAGGCATTTTCAATATATCCTAAAGTTGGAGAAGCACTGCCTCAAACTAAACCTTGGTGGCGAGGGTAGAATAGAGGGACATTAAAAAATGCAAACTACTACTATCACCAGTCAGGCTGGCCTTTTCACACCTAAGCCAGAGAAGGAAAACTGCCCAGTGGACAGTACTTTCATTCATGGATTACAAACATCTACTTTTATGAGATATTTTATATTTAATTATCAGAATTTTAAATTTTGAGACAAAAACAAATGTGCATACATTGTGGGAACCAGAATTGTGGATGGAACCAGTAGTACTAGAAAATCATCTAATATGAGCTAGTAACATGAACTATATTATAGAAGAATTGACCTGTGGAGAAGTTAGTACACAGAGGTAAGAAAGAGCAAGGTGTAGTTTTAGAAATTGAATGCAATTTTACAATGAGTTGTTTTTACCTCTTCTTTCCTTGAGTACAAATGATAGCAGAGTCGTTGAACTGTCCCTAATGTGGTAAATGCTTCTGGAATACCAGCTCTAGAATGAGCAAGGGTAGCTATTAAGTTCCCTATAAATCAAACAAAAAATGCTTACATTATTTAATTGATATGAACTGATACAGTGTTCCTATTCATTTGTATATGGTATTAAAAAAGATTTGAGTTGTAAGACATCTCTGCTAATGAAGAAGTGTTGAGGAAAAGTTTGTATAGTATGTTAAATGTAATAGAACAGACCCTCCCCAAAATTATGGTTTGATTTTCTGTCACAGTCAAGATAAAATAGATTTATACAAGAAAGGAGTATCTTGAAAATCAATTTTTTTTCAGATGATTTCATAATATATTTTGAGAAATATATTTTGAGATGATTTTTTAAGTAATTATGAACATAATGATTGAACTACTGTAAGAAAATATAACATTCTTTTTGTAATTCAAATAGCTTTGAGTTAGGAGCTTACTGGCACTTTAAAATCAATATATTGCTTTTGAAATTTAAAATCTTTGAATTTCTTGCCATAAAAAGAGCTTAAGAAAGTGATTCAGTAATGAATAAATGTGCAGCAACAACTTAAAACTATCCCCTTCAAATCCATACTTTGAATATCTCATACTTAGATATTTTTTCACAGTATTATTCCTATGGCTAAAACAATGAAAGAAATTTTAAGATATAAATATACTACATGGTTACTTTATTGAAATTATTAACCATGTTTTCTATCCCGCCTATTTTTTCCTGACCCTCATTTGATGCCTAACTGAGTTTTGTATTTATTGCCTCTAGGTGAGAAAGGCTGGGCTGTATGGCTTAGAGCAAAAATTGTTTAAATATATCTTTCAACATCCCCTGCTCATGGATCGGGAGTATTAACATCATCAAAATGGCCATCCTGCCAAAAGCAATATACAGATTTAATGCCATCCC